GAGTAATCTTGATCAGTTATTGATGAATTCCAAATAAATGTGATTGATTACGTCCATGTGTAAACATAGGATCTTAGAAACATATATGATATAGCGAATTTAAGTATTGAAATTTATTTCTAAAAAGCTAAAGGCACTGACCATTTCAGTGAACGTGGTTATATTATTGAATTTCGTTCAGTAGGCCTATTAGATCTGTTCAGATGGAGAACAGCGTAAGTGCACCTCCAGTAAATAACGCTTTGCTACCTGATATTTATAATCGCCTGGATGCTGAGCTTATAGAAAGAACGCGTGTTGTCAATTCCCTGTTAGATAAACGTTTATCAATGCAAGAAAAAATCCTTAATAAATATAGGAGAAGTGCGGAAGTTATCTATAACAAAGAAACTGTGAAAATCAGGAAGGAACTGTCTAGAATCCGACATAGTCTGCCAACAGTTGGGTTCGCACATAACTTAAATGCTGGAGTCCGAACAGATCGAAAACTGCATGGCCGAAGAAGAGGTATGCCAATAACGGAAAAAGACGAGAATCCATTCTGTGAAAGACATTTTATCCACTTTTTGCCGAATAAACGTAAATATTATTACAAACCAAAAAGTCCAGAAGAATCACCAACACCACCAAAATCTCCATTGTTACCCACAAGTCTTGGAGCAAATGACATGAATGGTAGAGTTGCTGTTAAAGTTAATGAAATAAATAACAGAGACCCTTTAACCACAAACAGTCCAAGTACTGGCGTAAAAGATAATTTTGAACAATTTCATGGACATAAAAGCGAAGACGTCAGTAAAAGTGAATTTTCTAAACGTATTTTACCAGGAATCGCACGCACTATCACAGTGTCTAAAAAAATAATAAAAGACGACAAAAGATTAAGGTACCATTCTTCTCCTTCAATACTGTAAACATTGGTTGTAATAGGGAAACATATTTTAAAAATCATAATGTAGCAAATGTTTAAAACCATGTGGTTTATATATGATGTTTTATTTGGTTTTCGTCCAAAAGAAAATAAAATTGTTCAATGTGGGTTATTTGTCGTTTTGGGATTCCTAAAATAAATTGTTCAGTATGTGTTGCATGTATTTGTCCTTTTATTGGGTTTCCTCCCAAAGAATTTATTTTTCAATAATTGAGCATGTATTAGATACGATTGGGTATATGTAATGGTTTGATGTCCCCACATATCCCAAAAACGCAATTGATTAATCTATATTTCGTTTCGTTTTTTTTTTTATACTTTCGATAGCCTACACTACATGAAGATCTGACAAGTTGTACTCGAAGGTCGTGTCAGGGGTCGTACGCACGGCTTTTGACCCTATGACGTCAGACATTGATGATTAATCAATCAGCGTTGGCGTTTCTAGTTCCGTTCATGGCTTATCCCTCACTTCAACCAAAACGTCGGTAATGTAACAACTCTTCCAGATCCTAGTGTAGTAAAGACAAGTGAAACGAAATTTTGAACTATAAAAACAAAACGAAATAGGATCTGTGTTTTATTCAGATTGGAAAAAAAACCCCGACAACTGTTCAGTGTGAGTTATTTGTCGTTTTATTTGGGTTTCCGACTTTATTTTTTCAATAACTGTGCTTGTATGAGATACGGTTGGGAAGTTTTAATGTTTAGATGCCCCCACTTACCAGTATTCTATATCAAACTACAAAAATTCAGAACAACAAATAAAACAAGAGCTATAATGCATCAAATAATAAAATATAGTTTTGAGTAATGGGTTTTGCATAATTTTCAGAGATATCGCATGAATTTAGAATTCTGTGACAGCCGGTCAAATCTCGCTTGGCAATGTACTATCTGAATGTTATAATTCCATCTAATCTCCTCTTTTTTAAAAAGAAATTATGATGCCATGTAATCTATTTAAAAAAATATATGCATCCTTCATTATAATCGGATCATCGGCTATTTAGTGTGTTCTGATAAGCGCAAAGAATCGTTTATCGAACTGAATAATTCATATTAGAATATTGTTTTTCGATTGATAATTTATCATATTCATCTCATATACAGTTTCTGGAAATTTATCTTATTTCAAAACTAATATATTCCAGAATTCTATTATAAAAAGATTCATTTATTAAATTTTTGTCATTTATAACTGATTTGGGCCGTCGCGCTAAACATATTTTAGTTGTAACGTTTTGTGAATTCAAGTGCCATGAAGAACAAAGTTGTAACTTTTATGTTTATTGTGGGAACTTTTGCAAAATATATCTATGGAGAACCTCTCGACTATGGCACATTGCGGAACCAATCCCAGGAAGCTGTAAGTTACGGAATGAATTCAGAAGATATCATGCATAGACTCATACAAAACCGGATTAAAACTGAAACTATCCGATTATCTGAAAAACTGACGGTTGGTATATTGGAAGACACCAAATCAAGAAGTCGAGAGCTAACGTCTATCCTTGACAACCGTTTATATCATATACAACATTTATTCCAGAGGTTGCCAAGCATTGTCGCTCACCAGCTCAAGAGAAACCCAGGCGTTAACGCAAGTCTGCCACAAACGTCGCTACTTTATTTTATGTCGGATGTTGGAAGAGGAAAAGGGTCACCAACAGAGTTTCATCATTCTCACTTCCACACGAAGTTGAATGATTCTCATGATGTAGATCAGAATATAACCAAGCAAATCAGTGGCGTGGCATTGAATATTGGGCATAATTATCTGAAGTCAACAATGGTCAGAATTGACGAATCGGTTGGCTTTATGGTCAAGACGTTGGAGGAAACTCAGGATGTTTTGGAAAAGCTGCCTAATTTCTTGAAATATGTTATTAAAGGCCCATACGATACCATAAGTAAGGATCGAGTGATGGCAGGCTACAAACAATTTTCCCATAGACACAGCAAACATAATAATACACAGTAAGCTCATGATGACATTGGTAAAGACACCTTTTTTGGGTCTCAATTCAGATCATCACAGTCGTGGATTAATTATCCATTTTACAAATACCGTATTTATCACGCCGAATGAGCTTAGAAGATTGAACTTTGTCGAGCGACTTTAAAATCATTGAATGTTTGAAATATATATGCCTTGTTGTTGTAAATATCTGAATTAGATAAAAAAAAATATGTTTATTCAAATCCTTCATTACAGCTTTTGATTTATTCTGAAGTCAACACAGATAACGACTGGTTTTAGAGCGATAGAACAATCGAAATTCTTGGTCAGTTTGGGGAATTATGTGTCTATAGTCACAGAAAATCCATTTGTAACCCATATACAATGGGATTTAGAGTAATTTGATTTTTTATGTGCATGCCAAATCAGCCCCACCGGTTTGTCTCCGAAATCGAATCTCTCTTGCGTGCATGCCAAAGCGGCCCCAGCCTTGATAAACCCCGATGGTTCTTTTCATCAGGCCATGCGAAGATACCAATCTGATATACCTGACCGATTAAATGAAATGAAAGGGGGTTTGTGCATCAACCATTATATTGGGGGAAATGAAATGGGGTTTAACGTCCTATACTGTTCTGCTCCTAACCAGGTCTAATGAAGACGGGCATACGCCATACAGTGTGCTATGAGGGGAATTTTGCCCGGGCAGCGGAGCTACGGCCTACTCTTATATCGAATTCCAACTGCCAAGGGATCTTTTACGTGCACGCCAATGTGTACACGGGACCTCGGTTTTTTGTCCAATCCGAACGACTAGACAGCTGTCCTTGTCAGACCCTCCGTCCTGCATCACTGACAAGGGGAAACCACGCCGGAAAATCGGGATGAACTTTCTCGGCCAATGCAGGGATCGAACAACCGACCTCCAGGCTATCGAGCCTCGTGATCCCCCCAGGGTGGGGGGAGACAACGGTTAAATCTGGCGTGAAGTCTTGGTGACTACAAGGGAATTTTATAAAATAAGAAGCTCAGAGTCAATATTTCTGCTCATTTAGATACATGTATAGGATTAGAGTGGAATGGGGTCAAAACTGCGGCCCCATGCTTTGCATGTTCGATGTAATTTCGATGTTAAGAGTTGCACCCGACGACCAAGTCGGAAATTATATTTATCTGGATTCCTTGAAAATTCATTTGTATTCAAAGCCAAAGGTTATCTACAAACAATAACATAGCGGATTTCATTTTTAAAAAAACCTCAACAATAATGCATTGTTTGTCCTCTTGGTAAGGGAACACAACTGCGGTGGTGCAGTACGGCGGTATAGTCATTCGGATGGGTCAAAAAAACGAAATATACACATTGGCGTTCAAGAAAAAGAACCCTTATTGACAGTTGGAATTCAATGGTCAGGGTAAAATTTTGTGACCCCCCCCCCCATCACTCCCCACCCCGAACACTTGCAGAAGGAAGGACTGTGCAAACAATATTGTTTCGAATTTAACCCCGGCATCGCCAGAGTAGAACATCGTGATCGGGTCGTATGCTCTTCGCCACGAATTAGAGCTATGCCATCGTAAAAAATTTTTTTAAAAGATATTTATGGCTCTCAAAAAACCTACACAAGCAAAAACGTTAAACCCCACTTCTTTCACTCATTACAAAAAAAGGCTAGCGGTTTTATTGTTTTATATTAGGCTCCATGGAAAAATGAATGCGGGGAATGAGGGATTGTTACTTTAATTATTTACAATCTACATGTAAATACATCATATCTGTTTTTAAAATAGATACATATAATAAATTCATTATCCTAAGGATTGTAGCAAGTATTTTTGGACTCAATTACTCAAGGGGTAGTATGTGTAACCCTAGTTTACAGCCAAACCATTCTATACAATAACTACACGCGGAGTGTCGGACCGGAATGGTTTAGCTATACCAGCAGTTTATTGCAGATAAGCAATAAATATGAAGAATAATAAATGATGTGAATAAATAGATCTATTTAATCCATTTATTGGAAGACGAAAAATTGGTTTCTATTTCGTTTTATTTAATTTGCATAATTTTGGTGCTGAAAATTGAACTTCCGGTATCATCAAATATGGCGGAAAATTTGATCTGTCAAGAATTGAAATATTTAGAAAGGGCTATTAAGACATCAAATTTGAACCAAACAGATTTGAAGACAGACCAGTTTAACGTAATTTATTCGTTTATTTCTTTGTAAATAATATCTGTACTTATATTTTAAATTAACTAGCATTAAACATTAAATTATCAGCGTTAGAATGATTAACTTTAACTGATAAAGTAAAAGTAGACATGTAGGTAAGCTTTGCAAACCTTTTTGAGAGTTCTATTTCTGACATCCTACACTAGTTTGTCACAAAGACAACTCTACTTTTTACACTCTTCCAAAGTTGTCCTTATAAGTAGTAGAATGGTCTGGAACACATAATTAGAAAGGTAAATAATATAAGGAAGTGGATATTATTGAAGGCATGAAGCAGATCTGGTTCCTGACCTGAACAAACTAAATCCCTGAAATGACTTCTTATTAACAGCATGGTTAATTTTATTTAGAATCTTCCAAAATGACTTCTTTCACCCAATTGAAAACTGGTACGTGCTTAAAGTAGCTAAGTCTCTGACTCATTATCATCCAAAATCTTCAACATTGAAAACACGATTTATTTGTCAAATTAAATCAACGTTCATGTGTGATCTTACCGGAAAAAGATGGGCTTTTGATATCCAATAATTAAGACAAAATCGTGTACCATAATGCGCTTCAGCCCCAATTGTATCAAGAGGGACGAGGCTATACGCATTGCACCAAATCAAACGGCGTATGTAGACTGGAATAACCAGACGCTAGAAATTTGCACTCGCTTGAGACTGCTGGCTTATTTCGCCGAACATAACTGATTTGAAATTGGAGTAAAAACAGAAACCATTGAAATTGAATGTAAATCAGTTTATATACATTCATATTACAGTATTATATGCGTTGCGACCCACTTTTGTCAATTTCTAGGTCCCAAATGTTAGCGATTTAGCTCCTTTAAGTTCCAACATTGAAATCTTTTTAGAGGCAACGTTGACATTTACAAATACGATAATTGTTATTTATTTGTGAAGAGATACGCCCACATTACAATGGTTAGGAATAGGCTACATGTAGAAGTAGAACAGGTCCTTACCTCACTGTTTAGTAGCTTAGGAGTTGGCACTGGTTTCCTAGATGTGTATCACTATCAGACTTCTAATCGCATGATAAATAATATCAATTACTTGGGATTCGGTTCGGTTCTGTTAATTCTGTCTAGAGTCAAAAGTAACAGAGACCTTGAAATATTTAAATGGAACAATGACTAAAACGGGAATTATCATTTTCAATCACCCATGGCTGTTGACCCTCAAAATAATTGATCAACGATCAATATACAATCTTTCATGGACAATTATATACCCCCCCCCCCCCTACAAACTTGCTATAAAATATTGATCATTTGTATATATTTCAGGTTATTAGTATAAATAGATATATTATAGATCCTGCATTCACTGGTCAAACTGATATTGATACTACTACACATACTGATGCTTTTGATATAACTTTATCTGATCAAAATAATAAATTAAAAGTTATTATAGATTCTAGTTTAAACTATCTAATACAAAATCACCTGGTAAGTTGATCCTATATCAACCTTTATGTCTAACTTGAATATTACTGTCACCAAATGTAAACTGTGTACAGATTGATGTTCTGAAATATTTGATTTTGCTTTGTTATAAATATTAAAATATCTACATTGAAGTACCTTGAAATAGTGCTGGCATACTATACTATTCAAAAAAAGTAGGGGATATTTGATTTTGGGGGCATAATACTAAAATATGCAAATGACTACGAAAAAAGTCACTATAGAACCTAACAGAACAAACATTTCCAGTTACATGTGACGCCCAAACGCACCAATAGCTACCGCATGGAATGCAGGTGATGCTTGGGATCATCATGGGGGTCCAACCCAAGATTTGCACGACTCTGACTTTGAATGTTACAGTCATTGTGGCATTGAATTCCAGGGTGGAAACATCAGTTTAATTGTTTTAGTGACCAGAAAACAAATTTTGATATGCGTCGGCTTACCCAAAATGAAAGGTTACGTGCCCTTGGCATGCTACAGATTGGCACAACACAGGCGGTTGTGGCGCGGATGATGAATGTTTCTCAGTCTGTCATAAGCAGGCTATGGTCCAGATACCGTGATACACAATCTGTACAGGACAGACCACGCTCAGGTCGACCAAGGGCGACAACTCAAGCCCAGGATCGATTTATCCGTACCTTGGCCTTGAGAAATCGTGTCATCACAGCAAATCAGATCAGCGCTCGTCTTCAAACAGACACTGGTGTGAGTGTGAGTGGCCAGACGATTCGGAATCGACTGCATAGGGGTCACCTTCGCGCCCAACGTCCTCACGTGATCCCTTGTTTGAGAGATCATCACATTCAGGCAAGACGTCGTTGGTGTAGGGATCGTCAACACTGGGATAATCGACGCTGGAGCAATGTGATGTTTTCAGATGAGTCAAGGTTCACTGTTGATTTTTTGGACAGACGTAGGAGGGTGTGGCGTCGTCGAAACGAGCGCTTCCAAGACGTTAACGTCATCAGACATGATCGATTTGGGGGTGGTTCTGTTATGGTGTGGGGAGGCATCACTGTTGCTGGAAGAACGGCTTTACATGTTGTTGCAGGGTGTGTTACAGGCCAGTACTACCGGGACAACATCTTGGCAGTCCATGTTGTGCCGTTCGCACGACGTCATGGCCACCGTTTCATCTTCCAGGATGACAGTGCAAGATGTCACAGGGCCAGGATCGTTACAGGTTACCTCCAACAACAGAACATCACCACATTACCTTGGCCAGCACTGAGTCCCGACCTCTCTCCCATCGAGCATGTCTGGGACATGCTTGGACAGAGGTTACGCCAACGTCAACAACGTCCTGCCAATGTCCAAGAACTTGCTGCTGCGTTGCAACAGGAATGGGACAATCTGGACCAAAATGACCTTAGACGTCTCATTAGGAGTATGCCACGTCGGATCAATGCTTGTTTGGCAAACAGAGGAGGATTTACCCTTAACTGACTTGGTTGTGATGCTGTGGTAACTTTGCTAACGATCATTTGGAATAAATCGATGAATGTGAACTTCATTTCATTTTGTCATTTGTTTCTTCGTCAGTTTCATTAGGTGACTTTAATAACATTTAAAAATCAAATATCCCCTACTTTTTTTGAATAGTATATTATATCAACATTCACTTTACAGCAATATGGCCCAATCCACAAACCAGATTTGGTCAAGTCCAGCCATCATATAGACTATCTATTTAAGTGCATGTACATGTTATCTTGTGTTACCTGTTATCATCAGTCATTAATAGTTACGGTACTGGAAACAGCCATTTAGCTGTAATATTTGATACCATTTCTTCCACTTGTTTACAAAAATTTATTTTTTGTGACTTTAGCAAAGAAAGTCTTATTTTGATAATGGTCTATCTCCTTTTGTTGTATAATGATGTAGGGCTACGGTAGCAAGTGTGTGCTAACAGCAATCTGATTATGTTCACAAGGTAGAGATTTTTCTGAAAACCAAAATCAAGTAACATTTATGGCTTGTGAAAATGACTGAGCACTGAATACACATAAAAAATAGCAAGTGGCTTAATCAATACCAATACATGGTGCAGTGATTATTTATTTTGATATGCATATTTTCAGTTACACGTTGGAAGTGCTGTCATCTTAAACGAATGTTCTTTAAAATATGATGAAGCTGATTTAGATTCTGAGTGTTTAATTATAGTTCAAGGGATAGAAATTGTTGATGAAGTAGAAGTATGTGAAGGTACATATTTTAGGCCATTTAAAAACATATTCTGATTTCCTGGTGCAGCTGCATCCCTTAAAAAGAACCACATGATCCTTTGACAAAATATAAACTTCCCTCAGATTATTTTAAATGATTGTCAGAGTACAGGAATATTATTTTTGTATGCCTTATTAGCAAAATTGTTCCTAAAAATATTTTGTTGTTATCTGTGCAAAATAGAATACTAGGGGGAGGGGGGGCACATGATGGAAGGAAACATTATTAATGGGCGTAAACCAATCCTTTAGGGGTGGGATGAAAAAGTAGGATCTTCTTTAAACTGAAACATTTTTTATGTAATTCTTCATAATTTGACCTTTTTTTTTAGATCAAACAAGAGATCTTGAATGGTGGCCAGATACAAACTTAAAACAAAGAGAAAATATACCATTAGCATCTAACAGACGATATTATGTTGATGTATGGACAACTGGCCATGTTGACAAAACAACTCTCCTATCTTGTTCAGTACCAGGTAATTTATATTTCTTATATTAGCCCAGTATCCAAATGAACAATCTTATTAAAACACAGATCCTGTTTCGTTTTTATAGCTACACTAGGATTCGGAAGAGTTGTTATTATTGACGTGTTCTGAATGGCGTGAGGAATTAGCCATTGAAACGGTCTGTTACGGCGAGCTTTAGGCATGTTTTGCACGGAACTGTGGGTAATCTACTAGTAACATCAATTCTGATTGGTTAATCAAATGTCTGACTTCATAGGGTCAAAAGACGCTCGTATGACCTCTGATGCGACCAATCGCTACAACCGGTCAGATCTTCATGTAGTGTAGGCCATCGAAAGTATAAAAAAACGAAACGAAATATAGATCTGTATTTTAATCAGATTGCCAAATGAAATGAGTTTAATTTATGACTTTGTTGCACTAAATTTTGTCCTGATAGTAGTGGCTCTATGGCTAACTGTCTTTAATGTGTTACAATGGATTTACACGGGTATGCAGGGAAGGGCGTCTCCCCCAGGGTACCAGGGAACATTTAAATTTTGCCATACCTTAGAAGAGTTTTGGGATATGAGCATGTACTGCTTTCTGTTACAAGTGTGATGTTTACCAAAATATTACCAGAAGTGCATGATTTTCACCTGACAACATCAGTATTGACACACTGCTTCTTTATTTCTTGGAAGCCATGGTAGCTCGGTGAGTAAGTCGTTGGCTCGCAAACCTCAAGGTTCTATGTTCAATCCCTGCGTTGGCTGCGAAAGATCATCGAGATTTTTCGACGTGTTTTCCCCTTATCAGTGGTTCAGGAATGAGGGTCTGGCAAAGGACAACATATTGTCCTGGCAAAATTTCCCTCAGAGCACACTGTATGGCGTATGCTCCTTTTCATTAGCTCAGTCGGAGCAGAACTGTAGGACGTTAAGCCTCATTTCATTTCTTTTATTTCTTTACAAAGCATGTAGGACAATTTTTGTCAGCAGAGGAGCATTTGCTCCACTACTTACTATAGTCTATACTATTAAATGATCCAATTTGTAAAACTTCTTTGTTAAAAGTTACTTATTTATGATAATATAATTTCAGACGAGGAAGAAGATTTTCGAGAAATATCACAAGATTACAATCTGTTATGTGGTATCAAAGATGTTTATAAAAAGTGGAAGTCATTTCAAGGAACCAAACCTGCCATCATCGTTAAAGTATTAAAAATATCCCGTTTATATCACTATGGTAAACCAATCAAATCGGACAAGTGGCCATTCCAGGTACATACTACCCATTCTCATATTTCCATCATTTGACTTGGTAGTATTTTATATCATTAGTTTCTGAGAAATCAGGGAGTGGGGGCAGATATAGTCCGGGTGATCTTGCACATGTACTTTTTATACGCCCATTGTCGTGATCCCTGTCCGTCCATCCACAATTTGTTTGTGGACACTTGAAATATAGGTTTATCTCCCAAAGATCTTGGTTCCTTTTGATATTGACATGTATCAGACAAGTGAATTATTGGAATAAAATTGAACCATATGTTAGTCCTCAAATGACCTAGTTTGTGTTGAGTAGACTAAATCTCATCTCTCTCTCTCTCTCTCTCTCTCTCTCTCTCTCTCTCATCTCTCTCTCTCTCTCTCCACTGGCTATTTATTTATTAAGACCTTGATGAACTAAAATTTAAACTAGTTACATGATGAATCAATTGAGCTCTCCCAATCAGTATTCACTGAAAATCTATACTTAGTCTGGAACATTATGCCTTTGTCACTTTCTTTCCAAAGTTTTCAGAATAAATTTGAAATATTTTTCAGCTTCACATATTAATTGGTGATGAAACTGGTTGTTGTACTGCTGTCTTGTGGAATGTTCTAGCTGTCAGATATTTAAATGTGTAAGTAATCAAACTTCACTGAGTAAGGCCATGTCAAGGTAATGTATAAGATTGAATGAGAATTGGATGAAATGTAGAATGAAACAACACTGACTCCACTGTCCAAGCAAAATTCACCCCCCTCGTATAGCTTATGTAACCAATGAAATGGCTTAAGTCTTCTTTTGAGACATTAAAACCCATTATGTAACCAATGAAATGGCTTAAGTCTTCTCTTGAGGGGACATTAAAACCCATTCTGTTTTCAAAACTGAATTCTAATTTAATTTTCTTTATGTTTTCAGGTTAAAAGAAGGAACATGTTTACTTTTGCAAAATTTTAAAATAAAGAGAAGTTTCCATGGGGCTTCACGATTTAATGTTGGCAGAGACTATGGGGAACTATTTGAAGTTGATGTTAATTTAAATCCACAAAATCCTGCATCTGTTGTTAAAATTTTACAAGAATCATCACTGGATAATATACCACCATTACAGTATAACTTTATTACTAGATCACAACTTAGGTATGGTCAATAGATAATATACCACCATTACACTATAACTTTATAACTAGATCACAACTCCGGTAATATATTACCATTACAGTATACCTTTACTCAGGTAAAGTCAATAGATAGTATACCATCATTACATTATGACTTTATAACTAGATCACAACTCTGGTAACACACTACCATTACAGTATACCTTTACTCAGGTAAAGTCAATAGATAGTATACCATCATTACACTATGACTTTATAAGTAGATCACAACTCTGGTAACATACTACCATTAGACTATACCTTTATTACTAGATCACAACTCAGGTATGATATAACACTACAGTATAAACTTATAAGTAGATCACAACTCATAATATAACACTACCGGTATAAACTTATAACTAGATCACAACTCATAATATAACACTATAAACTTATAACTAGATCACAACTAAGGTAAGGTCAAAAAATGAAATGTGGTTTAACATATCCCATGTTTCTTCATGGATTGTGCTAGTGAAAACTTGCATATAGCTATGAGAGAAATTTAAATGCCCACCAATTAGTGGTATATGGGTGCACCTCTGATTTCCATTGCATATGAACAACTGGCCACCACCCAGGACCTCCCAGTTAGTGATCGAGCGCTGTGACTCTGTGTTACTCGGACATTACATATATGAGCTTACCCTTTTTTTTATCCTGCCTATAATTTATTTCAATCATGCTCAACGTTTAACATGTGGTTTAACATATCCCATGTTTCTTCATGGATTGTGCTAGTGAAAACTTGCATATAGCTATGAGAGAAATTTAAATGCCCACCAATTAGTGGTATATGGGTGCACCTCTGATTTCCATCGCATATGAACAACTGGCCACCACCCAGGACCTCCCAGTTAGTGATCGAGCGCTGTGACTCTGTGTTACTCGGACATTACATATATGAGCTTACCCTTTTTTTTATCCTGCCTATAATTTATTTCAATCATGCTCAACGTTGTTCATAAAAAGGATGTTCGATAAACTGATATTTACTACTGTCTGAATAATTCTATTTGAGATGCCAACTTCTAGGATTGATCTTCAAATCAGACATTATTTATTATAGAAGAATTTAGATAAAATAGATATTTATTAGAGATATTGTATGTATTATAGGTCTGTATGTGATGGTGTTATGTGTGATGTTGTTGGTTATATCCAGTTTGTGGGAAGAGTTGAAAGAGAAAAAATGAAAAGTAATATATTGAGAAAAGCTTCATAATAGTTTAATATTATTGTGATACACATACATGGAATAATGCTGACAATGACTAGTAACTAATAATGTTGATAGTCTAGCCAACTCATTTAGACAAAGATAATTAAATATACATTATGCAAGAGCGAAATCTGCCTTTTGCAGGTCTTTCTTCAGGCCTTTAATGTCATCTAAATTATTAATTAGGCATTAATTAACTTATCCAGATTCCAGACCATAATTAACTCTCAGTGCCATCGATATTTAGTGGATTTGAATACATTTTGTGATGGATGAATCGCTAATATTCTCTTTCATTATCTATTTTTCAATTAGTATAAAGAGAACTGTCTCAGTCTGCTCTTTACCTAATGCCCCTTTAATGACATTGATAATCTCCCTTATTTTTAGAAACAGATAATTAATGACGTTGGCAGTCTAAAATAATTAATGTGTTCCAGGTGGTTTCAATGATGTTGATAATCTAGTTTACAGATAATATCAAAGATAATGTAGAATTATTTGTGTGATAAACATATAGATTATAATATAGATATGTGTATATATTTTAGATAGAATAGAAGGTGATGGTGGATGTTATTGGATATATAGATGGTTACATATAATAGATCATTCTAGTAATAAACCTATAATAATACAACTTTATAAACCTAATCAGGTAGGACTTTAATCTCAAATCTGAAGTGAATAAATCTTGTTCTGAAAATACAACCTTTAACTAGAATATTAATTAAAGCCACTGATTATCATTTGAGGGTTTTTGAATTCTTTGCAAACTACAGTGTATCCGTCCAAAAATGGATCAGTTTCATTTAGTATTTACAAAGATATGGTGAATTTAATATTTTGGAATATTTGGCATGCTCTGCAGACAATATAAATAATCCAGTATATTTGTTATGTAAAATCTTTTGATGGGTCTCTTTTTAATCCAAGCCGAGAGATTATTTAATACTAACAAAACAGAATTAATGAGTGAAAACATTGCTGTCTGGAAGAGTGGGACAATGAAAACATTGCTGCCTGGAAGAGTGGGACAATGAAAACATTGCTGGCTGGAAGAGTGGGACAAGGAAAACATTGCTGGCTTGAAGAGTGGGACAATGAAACCATTGCTGCCGGGAAGAGTGAGACAATGAAAATATTGCTGCCTTGAAGAGTGAGACAATGAAAATATTGCTGCCCGGAAGAGTGGGACAATGGAAACATTGCTGCCTGGAAGAGGCAGAGACAATTAATATTCTATAGTTTACTTGTTAGATAGTGTTTTATTAATTGGGAATTAATTTGATTTGAATATTTCAGAGTGATATATTTGATACTGTAAAACCTGGACAAGTTGTTATTTGTCGTCATCTACGGGTCATGCAATACTTACATACATTAGAACATTCACGACAGGCTAGACATCTGTATCTATCATCTTCTTCAGAAACACAGGTATAAAGCTATTCAAAAATAATATATGTTTTACAAGCAAAAAGAAATTTCAAGATAAGTGTACAATAGACATACAGTGGGCGATAGGGTTGCATGTATATTGCCTTCTGGATATTAGTCGTAGTGTTTAATATTTCACTTTTATGGGAGCCAGGATGGCTCAGTGAGTATAGTTGTGGTTCACAAACCAGGGGCTCCTGTGTTCAATCCTGCTTTCCCCATGTCATTGGTGCAGGATGGGGGACTTTCAGTGGAAAACATCTAGTCATTTGGGTGGATATGAAAAACCAAGGTCCACCTATGTTGTCATTGGCTAGCACATAAAAGAACCTTGGCAATTGGTAATCAATGAACAGTAAGCTGACATTCTGCTTTCAAGGCAAAATTTTCCTCAAACCGAATGGTGCAGGAAAAAAAGACAGTTCATCCCTTTTTCATTTCATTTCGTTATCCATTTATAAATGCATTATTTGTTGTGTGAGATATATTCTTTTGTTACTTTTCATTTTACCTGTCAAATATATTTCTGATAAATTTCTTGTGTTTTAGATGGTTGTATATAGACGTGAAGATTTACCTAGAATGGATGACCGTTTACAGAATGAAGATGTTGTGAGAGAGTTTAATGATTGGTTTTATCAAACACAAGATGATATAGATGGTAAATACGGTGGTTATTTTATATATCCACCATTACCAAATACATTACAAACTTTTAAACAATTACATCCAGATATAGAGGTAAGCAGTCATTGATTTATATTTTGAATTGGTGAGCTGAAGAAATTTCTCTTCTAAAAAAACATAGTCTGTTTGGATAATGAGAGTGAGAGAGAGAAAAATGGGCTTTATCGTTCACTCGACACATACTAGGTCATTTCGGGACTAACATATGGTTCAATTTTTATTTCAATAATTCGCTTGTGTGTAGGGGTCTATAGCTTGGGAGAAAACCGGAGGATCCGGAGAAAACCCACAAGGTTGGACAGGCCACCCTATTCCTTGTCATGAATCGAAACCACACCAGTTGACTCATTGGCAGACCTTATGATACAGCACGCACATGCTAACCAATCGGCCATCCATCCCTCCTTGGATAATGTGACTGACTTGGTAAATAAGGAGTGTTTTATCATATAATAAAGAGAGTGATTCTTTGCATTCATAAGACAGGTGTACATAGAGCACAATATTTAAAGTCTAGAACTTTATTCTAAGTATCGTACGCAATTACCATGATTTTTGATTCCAAAAAGATAGAAATTATGGGAAGCCATTTCAGCTGTAAGTTGCATGACATAAAAACTGTGATTGAGATTCGACTGTGTAAGCAAACAGTTTTTATTAGATATATATGTAATTATTTTTAACTCAGTTGATATATAGGCCTACATGTATATTTATCCTCCAATTCAGTGGATGGGAGAGTGTGTGCTTCTCTATTTAGACTTTCGACAATCAGAATTTCAAATTAATTTTATTTTGATGTTTATTTTCTATATATTTGTAGATTATTAACAGCGGATTGTGGGAGAAAACTGTATGCAATATGGTATATAAACATCACAGGAGAATTTATATACAAGCTTTATTAGCACATATTAAATTTATTAGAATAAATGAATCCGTTCCATCATCACCTAGTAAAATTGGGTAAATACGTACAATCAAATCAAATAAAATGTCCTTCTTTTCTGCACCGACTGGGCTAATGAAGATGGATGTACAATCAATGAAATATGGTTTTGTAATGTCAGGATGATAACTATCTTCCTTATTTAAATTGAGTAAAAATAAGTATTGAAAAGCTTTCTTTAGATACAATAGTAATTAGGCAATTAACAGAAAAAAACCTAGCTTGGATACCTTCTTGACTTTGATGTTAATGGAAAGAAATGGAATTAACAAGACAATTAAAAGATGGTGGCACGAACTCAATATAAAATAATTTGAAGTTAGTCTGTAAGATTGTGGCTTTGATGTCAATTATTGGATAAACCATTAAATTAATTGTTTCTCATTTTAGAAAAAATTCCAACAACAAAGAGTCTATGGGAAAAAATGTTCAAGAGGTGAGAATAAATATTGCAGGTTATTGGCATTTACCAGTGATCCAGATAAAACTGCTTTTTTGTCGAACAAATATATGATATTCTTAAACTTCTAAACCTGTTATATTAGAACTAAATGCATCAACCTGTGAATAATTAGATACTGTTTGAGAAATGTAAATGATGATCAGCTGCTTTCATCTAGTCAGTAAATATATTACTGTATAGATGTGTAATGAGTAAATATATTACTGTATAGATGAGTAATTTGTAATGGATTATTTTGAATACAGAAAGAAGAACAGATAGTAAATGGAGAATGGGCAAAGAGTAGAGATACGTTCAAACATGTAGGTGTTACAGATCAACATCAGATTCAACAGATGTTTCCTTTATCATATGATCCTGATAATAATAGTTTATCACGAATAAATCTACCTTCTAATACATATAATCACACAGGTACAAATTTCTGTTAATTTGATATTTTTGGAGGGGTGTGGATGGTCTGTCATTGAGTCTGTCATGACTTATGTCTGTCATTGAGTCAAGTGGGCTGGTTTCTATTCCCAGATTGTATGTAGCAATGAGTAGTCATCCTGTCCAACCTGTCCTGGTGGGTTTTCTCCGGTTTCCCTTCCAAATCTAAAGACCCTATGCGTAAGCATTTATTGAAATATAATTGATCCATGTCAGTCCTGAAATGATGAAGTTTGTGTCGAATGGATGTTAAACCTAATCTTTGGCTGGTTTATATTTTGAACTTGACAATTTTAGGATTAGTAGAAATAACCATATTTTGCCTAATTTCTTCAAGCTGTTTTGTTTGTAACAGAACACAGTTCTTTGGATTACAATTACTGTATTATATACACAGGTGATTTCACTAGTCATTATCCAGTAGACGTGGTACAAGGGTTAATCAGCGAACTGGATGTATGAGATGTGTTGTTGACGTTTGGGAAAGTAGGACGAGGGGAAATGTGTAGGGAGTGAAGTGCTGTAAAGGGATAGTTAGATGTATTATGAATGGTTAGAGTGGCTGTGGTGTTACGGTGAAATACTATGCCGCCACCGTAACACCACAGCTTTATGATTTGTTAGACAGGAGTGATGTAATGGGTGTCAACAACTGGGTATGCTGGTACCGTCGCAACGTAGCCGTGAAATATATATTGTGGGGGGGGAGGGCGGAAACGGAAAAATATACAATGTTGACAGTATGTGCCAGGCATGAGGCTGCGCAGACCGAGCGGCAGCTCGATAGGGAGTGTGTGGGAGGGTCACCCTCATAAAAATTTTTTTTTTAAAATTTCAGTTTTCTGTAAGCAGTGAAAACACTATTTTGGCATTGTTTGCGGGGTTAAACCTAAAAATCACATTAATACACCTATTGCACGATATTGTGAAACTAGCTGACGAAGACAGCTCGGGCGGCGATTGTTCGACTCGGGGCTGCTCTGTCAGTATCTAACAAACGCATTTAGTTCGCGTACAACTTTTAAAAACCGAATGTCAGTATGGTATTTCTCACATAATTGGTTATCGCAAAAACAGAGTAAACTGAAAGCGAGTAATCTCGACTCAAACCTATAGTCTATAGCCTACTTACTACACTCGTCAATAGGCTTCCTATATTATTGTTTGTGGACGGTTTACTACTCAGTGATAAGCCTGCGCCGCAAAAAGAGGTCTCGCCTTTTATTATTAGTATAATGACTTCCTCATGTGCGGCAGGTTAGTTTGCTTCTAAAAACACTGTTTTCCGTTCCAAAAAATACAAAAGTAATTTTCTACCAGATGACCATGGTTCTTTTCACCGAGACTAGATAATTTCTCTTGGTGTAAGGATATAGCTATGGATAAGTTCATACAAGGTCAATAAATCCGCGGTCAGTTCGGGTCACACTGTTGAGAAAATAAACCGATGGGTTTGTTTAGTAGCAAATCGAGCGTGAATCAACTGAGTTTGTACTGCAAAATTTTTGAGTGATATGTATGAACTGTCTTCACACATTCGGTTTATAATTAGCGATACACAGGTACAGTGGCAAGTGTTGTACTTCACAGACTGTTTACCTCCGAACTACCTCCGCACGAAATCCCCGATTTGGGTACTTGTTAAAAGAAAAAGAAATAGTACCTGTGCGCATGCCAGTAAAAAAAACCTAAGAGTTCGCGCATAAAAATGCCCGAACGTACCAGGCGCCAGGTCATCAAGCATACAAAAATGAGAAATTGATGCGAAAGCAAGTAGTGGGAATTAGTTCGAATATAATTACTACTAAGTATAAGGATAAATGAAATGAAATGAAATGGGGTTTAACAACCTATGTTCTGCTCCGACTGGGCTATTGAAGACGGACAATCACTTTGTCCTATGAGGGGAATTTTGCTTAGACAGCGACACAATGCCTACTCTTATTTTGAATTCCAACTGCCAAAGGATCTTTAACATGCACGCCAATCTGTACATGGGACCTCAGTTTTTCGTCCCATGCAAACAACTGTACATTGTCCCTTGCAAGACCCTCTGCCCTGCACCACTGACAAAAGGGAACCATGCCGGAAAATCCCAATGAATGAACTTTCTGGGTCAACACCGGGATCAAACATGGGCCCTCCAGGTTAGCGAGCCAACGTCCCACTCAGAAAAAAGGATTGATAAAAACATAAATAATCCGCGAGACAAATTCTGTTATCAGTCATACATATTGAATAATAATTATTTTTTTTTTATTCCAGATATCTCATGTCCCGAATATTGTAAGGTGAATTATTTTGAAATTACGTGGCTTGGATTAAATAGTAAAGTTGATCTAACCTCAGTTAAAGTGTGTAATTCATTGAATAAAGACACAAGTATTAGTGACATATTAATTGGTTGTAGACAGCCTGTTATAAGTGATGAATTCTGTTATGAAGATGTTACTTCAGTCTTAAACAGTACAGCAACAGTTAAAGATACTAGATATCTAGTTGTTTTAGATTTATATTGCCATGATTTTAATAATATTGAAATAGTTTTAAATGGAGCTTTTCCAGTCTGACATAAAATAGAAAAAATGTTGTGTGAGTTTTTTTCTTTACATCAATTGCTATGCAGTATCTTCTTTTTATGGAGATAGCCAAATCTTGCACAAGCCTGAATTTAGTTGGTTCATTAAGCTTTTAGTTTCTGCTGATAGTTTCAATCCAACAAAGAATAGGACATACATGAACTGATAAATGTCATAGCCAGAAAGAGAAATGATATAGCCTTATTTCAATAATTTGGAGGAAACCTGCAGGTTAAGAAATGAAATGGGGGTTTAACATCCTACTGTTCTCCAAACTGGGCTAATAAAGACGGGCATGCGCCATACAGTGTGCTATGTGGGAAATTTTGTCCGGACAGTGGCACTACGGCCTACTCTTATGTCAAATTCCAACTGTCAAGGGGTCTTTTACATACACACCAATGTGTACACTACGGCCTACTCTTATGTCAAATTCCAACTGTCAAGGGATCTTTTACATACACACCAATGTGTACACAGGACCTCGGTTTTCCATCCCATCCGAACAACTAGACAGCTGTTTGCAAAAATAACTAGCCTTACGATCCACAGGCCTTCCACAACATACCGCATCTGTCAGAGAGAGAAATGGGGTTTAACATCCACTTGACACAAACTAGGTCATTTCGGGACTAACATGGTTTAATTTTTATTTCAATAATTCGGTTGCGCGTAGGGGTCTTTAGCAGTGGGAGGACCCGGAGAAAACCCACAAGGTTGGACAGGCGACCCTACTCCTTGTCACGTACAATCGGGGAATCGAAACCCCACCAGTTGACTCAATGACAGACCGTATGATACAGCACGCACGTGCTAACCATTCGGCCATCCAACACCCCACCCCCTCCCCATTGGTCAGAATTTTGTCCCTTTAATCATAGGTTTAGAAATATGAATATAAAGAGCAACTATATATAATTTATTTAATAACATGATATATACAATTTACAATCATAGTCATACAGATAAAGCTGTATTTCAAAACATGGATTAGGTCTAAGCAGAGTGTTCTATGAGGTCATACATGTCAAGCAAACACAGTAATTGGATGAAATAGATTTTCACTTCCCTATTAGTTTGATTTATTTGATTCAACTAGACTATTATCAGCTGTAATAAAATTTCAAAGACCATTTTTTTTAAAACCTTTTCTGTTCTAAATTGTTGTCCATAAAAACTACAAAGATCTGATCAAATGAAGCATCTGCAAGCTATTTGTTTACAATGTCAATAAACTCTGATTAAACCTATAACAGTTTACAAATACAGAATAAGTAGATTTAAATCTTACACATTCATAAAACATATATCTCATAAATAACAGTTACCTTTAAAACATATATCTAGTCAACATTGTAAATATCATACTGCATATCTCTTAATACACAGTAAATAAAATTACTGGGACTTAGCAATTATTGCTGAGCAATTCAACATTTGAGTTATATACATATTTTTTTAACTAAAAGATCTTATAGCTTCTAATGTTCTAAATTTCATGTCTAATTAATTCATACTCTAAATCCTAAATTTCATGTCTAATTAATTCATACTCTAAATCCTAAATTTAAACTAGGTTTTGATCATTTGATTGCATACATGATTAATTTTTTTTAAAAAACTCAATTAATTCCTGACGACCTGTAAATAATAATTTTAGACGTACCTGAGTAACCTGACTAACTGTCAGGCTCTAGTATTAGTAATAAACTAGTATCTGACATTTTGACTTTATGGCGGAGATGTTTTAATTACATTAAAACACAGAAAAGAGAGAAATCTATGACAGACAAAATAACATACACCCGAGGAATAGCGCTTGATGAAGCCTAAAATTGGTTCCTGAGAGTGTCTGTGACATTCCCAGTCTTGTACAGGACCGTAGACTACAATACCAATGAACATGGCTGTATTCATTTCAAATATATCATGGAATGAAAACGGAAAATATCTTCAGATATAAAAAAAAACAGGTACATCTAAATGGACAAAAAATAACTCAAGATAGAAAATAAAAAAGAATAACTGACATATTTCATAAATAATAGAAAAATGTTTAAAAATAAACTAGGAGTTATTTTGTGAATATAATTTATGCCTGAAAACTGATTAAAATATAAAAAAATTCAAATTAAAACTAAAGAAAGAAAAAAAAAGAAAACAGTTCATTAACAATTAACAGATATAAATTTCAATTGATTACTTTTTCATTCATCATTGATAGATAAAAGTTCACTTCTACCAGAATAAAATGCTGTTAACATCCAGCTTATATAAAGAAACATACGCTACAACTGGTTATTCTGTTGTGCTGTTTTAGCAGGAGTTTTTGTATTTAATGTAGTTTCAAACCACTGTTGGCAAACTGTTAAAATAAGTGTCGGTTTACAACTATTTACTTTTCCCAAGTGGTATTGTTGATTACTCTGTACGCGACAGTAGGAAACCATTATTTTTTTGATTCTCAACAAATGTTAACAATTTGCCAGCAATGGTTTGAAACTAAACATTAAAGGGGCATTATGTAAGATTTAGAGAAAGAGCTGGCAGTTCTGCTATAATATTTAAAGAATATTGCAAAATGAATATATTGAAATTTTCAGTCAAATAACTTTATTTTGAGCAAAGTAATCAATTGCTGTTTTGACAAAATGTGTGCATTGATTGTAACCATTGTATTGGTCATTCAAGTCTTATCCTCACTTCTCCATTTTTATATTAAATCATTAAATAGCCAAACCGTTCTAATCTACTTAAAATCGGGGCCATCCAATGGCATTGAGAGATGATTATGGTCTTGTCATGTTAATAAATGTCTAATTAATAATTTATATAACATTTACCTGCAATAGGAAGATTTAGCTCTTACATAATGCCTGTTTAAATACAGAAAATCCTGCTAAAACAGGGCAACTACACCATATCCAACTTGTAGTGATAGGTATGATCAAACAGTATATAACCATTCACCTAGTAAAACAATCACACCTAGACTAGACAATTAAAACAACTACATATACATAAAGCTGATTTGTACAAATTTTTATATGTACATGCAATAATATATATATATCTCATTTACATAATTATCTATATATATATATCTTACATCTATATTTACATTAATCCAGTGGCAGCGCTAGGGAATGGAAGGGGAGGGGAGTTTGTCTTGGAAAAGGAAAACAATCAACACAATATTTGCATCCTATCATCAATCATGGGGGGGGTGGGGAAATTGGCTCATTGCGCTTGGATTTTTGAAATTCTGTCGGATAATTGGAGCACATGCTGCCACTGTTAATCTGTTTATGGTGACTAGTTTTATTTATTGGCATTAATTGATTTACCATATAACAACTTGGAATAGTTCATGTTGGCAATACTTTGATGGACATACAGATGTATTACATATTCCTAGAACTTCACAGGCACAGAACACACATGTATTTATTTAAACTAAACATATTAGAGGATTTTCATTCTAATTAAGTTTTCTATGTTATATATATCGTTGTAGACAGAATACCATTTATAATGATCGCGCCAAACTTGTATCACAGACACATTAAAATAAAGCAAGAGAATCATAATTTTTACATTTTCTTTTTACTTATTTAGGCAAAGAGATCTTAATTAAGGCAGTTTATACAAGCAATGACTAACTTTATCATGGTATGTCATACCAGGTATGGCAACTTAAAATCTAATGATCTAAACCATACAATTATTCTCATAAATAAAATGTAACTCATATTAATAACACATACAGAAAAAGATAATAAAAGGCAAAAAATGGATGAATGAAGATTATTTTGGTTTTAACCCAAAATCTATATTCACAAAGAGTTAAATCCCTTTAACCGACTGAAACAAATGTTGATTCATAAAACAGTCATTTTAAGTTAATAGGCCTCAATCTACAGTCTATGATTCCATATGACTAAATATTGTACTTCTTTCTGACCGGCCCATCTTCTACCAACCAACCAATCAGCCTACACTGCTATTGAATACCAGTTGTCAGACTCAGACATGATAATATGGACCAGATGATATAGTAATTATAAAGTTAGAAACTGGGGTTAAGCCAAGATGAAATATAATAGAAAATAAACACTAAAAGTACAATGAACAATATCTTAATACACAAGTACTATCTCTTGATGATTTTATACTTTCTATAAACATATTTATTTCCTTGATAAAACTGAGACAATAATTCATAAATCACATTTCTTTCAAGACTAATCAATGACATGACAATATAGACTGGACAATTTGATACAACTATATTCATGATACTAGTTCACACCACCAGCAAAATAAATTATATAAACAGTATGTACATAGATGAAATGTGGCCTTTAGATTATAGGGGATCAAATATATCAATATATAGTGCTATTATTACAATTTTATTAAAACACGTCCATTAACTATCATGGCACACCTTTAGGTCAAATTAATTAAAATTGCGTAAAAATTTCTACTGATCTATTTCAGAAATCATCTGACTACATCTTCAGCAAAACTATTTACAACTTTCGATTTATTTTGCAATTTTAGATTATTTTTTTTTCGCAATTTTAGATATATTTCACAATTTAGATTTTTTTTCCACTATTCTCCATTTTGAAAAGAATAAATCCCACCACCTAATCTTATATTATATCTAACATAAAGTATGGCTTTTTAGAGACAGAAATTTATTATGACTATCCGTAAGGGAGGTTTTGGGCTTGTTTTGTCCACATTTCACTGTTTTGTTCACACGAGGCAGCGGCATCATGTATTTTGGCCGATTTCTACCCTTTTTTTTATCATAACATAATACATACATGTCAACAAGTTTATTGCAAACTGCCCTATGTATCTTATATATATTTCTCTATAAGTTATTGTTATTATATCACACTTGACTTTGTTGTCTAGGAGTTTTCTCTCTACCAGGTGGAGGTGGGCGCATATATGGTGATGAAGCTCTTGGACCTATAAACAGAACAAATTTGTATTGACATTTAATTAGTCGCTGATCTAAAAGATTATTCAAGAATTATCAAGTATAATTCTCTTTCTAGAAACTATAGAATTATCCATAGCTTTTTCGTTAAAACATATTTCAGCATTATGGCAAATGAAATAAAATGGGGTTTAACATCCTACTGTTCTGCACCCACTGGGCTAACAAAGATGGACATACATCACGCAGTGTGCTACGAGGGAAATTATGCCTAAACAGCGACGCCATGGCCTACTCTTATATTGAATTCCAACTGTCCAGGGTTCTTTTACGTGCACGCCAATGTGTACACAGGACCTGGGTTTTTCGTCCCCTGTCGAACGACTCCACATTGTCCCTTACTGGATCCTCTGTCCTACACCACTGACAAGGGGGGACCACGCCGGAAAATCTAGATGAACTTTCTCGGCCATCACCGAGACCTCCAGGTTAACAAGCCAACGTCAGACTCACTGAGCCACTGTGGCTCCCTTTAGCATTATGTACTAAATGCAGTGTATTAATTATATGGTTATCAGAAACCTCGACTGTGCATTTATACTTAACAAATAAGGAACAAACAGAAGAATATTATTATCTATTCTAAAAATAAAAAATAAAATTAGAATAAACCTAAACTTACCTAATCTAGGATCATACCCTGGGGGACCTAAAGGAAGGGGTGATGTGGGACCGTCTCGTGGAGGTGGTGGACCTCTAAATGGAGGCATCATATCAGGATGTGGTGGTCTGTATGGAGGAGTTCTTCTATCTAAATGAGGAGGGGGTGGTCTTCTATCAAAGGGTGGTGGTGATCTACCATTATGTGGTGGAGGTAAACGTGGTCCTGGTGGAAGACGTCTGTCTGGATGAGGTAATCTTTCATGTGGGGAACCATAAAATTCATCCCTGAAATATCAATTAACAATTTATGTTTTGATATTCATTCAGTAACTGGCTTAAAATTCTCAATATATTAACAATCTTATTCATTTAAAGAACATATATTCTAGTAATGTTCTCCACAAAAATTTAAGGGGTGTGCTCGACTGTCAGTCCCGAATGTCCAAAATTAACAGAATCGCAATTGAATGATATAGAATTCAGTCCTGTCACAATTTTGTCACATGATAAAGGTGGTGAGTAGAAATGTGACCTAATTAAACAATTAACAAATATGTTTCAGCTGCCATGGTTGGTTGAGATATTTTGTATGCAGTCGGCGCATGCATTGTAGCCCTAACTCCCCCTTTTTTCACACGATTGTCAATTCTGGAACATTCACTTGAGAATATGCCACAGTCGTGGTCTAAGGGGAGACAATATAGGGTCTTTGCAGAGTTATGTCCCTTTAATTCACAAAAGCTCACTACAAACCGTTTTATAGTCAAAACCAATGATCCCCTGTTCATTCTGAATTATTTGAAATATACTTATAGTGTGATAATAAAACAAGATAAGGTAATAAATATTTACCTTGGAGGGTGATGAGGTGGAATTGAACCTCTAGATGGGGACCTTTCTACTGGAGGTCGATCCATACCAGGAGGTAAGTGCATTGGTGGACCATTCATCATACCTAGAAATGTTCAGTCTTTCATTAAGATCAATATTAAAATCATATAAAAACACAAATTTATATGGAAAACAATCACTGATTTTATTTCACACTATGTTTCAACAAGTTCCTCTTGTCGTTCTCAAGTAAGTATGTTCATTTACTAAATGCCGTATAAGGATTTCATAAAAATCATAATTGCTGTATGAAGTTATACCCCTACTGTATTGAAATATTGAAAGTTACATTTTAATACTCAATTGAATATTAAAGTCACTGATCTTGAAGTTAAAACAGAAACCAGCTTAAATACCTGGTGGTGGCATGCCTCTAGTAGGTAATGGTCGTATTAAACCTTCGGGGCCAGGTTTTCTAGTTAATTCTGTTAATCGCTGACGTAAAGTTGTATTCTGATGTCGTGATTCTTTTAATTCTCTTTCTGCCGCTCTAGCTGCTAACTGTTAAAATAATTCAATAAACTATTAGTGTAATGATGACAATTATTATAAATCAATGCTAAACTTGTTATCTAAAATCATTCTTTTGGCAACAGAACATCTTTAATTTTACAATTATTTATAACTTTAGAGTAATTGTGTTAGACCATTTTGTCTAATTATTTTGTAATTTCAGTGAAATACAAGGAGTACATTAAAGAAACACTTACCCAATTTTCATGAGCCTTCTGTTCATTTGCTGCTATCTGAAAAAACACAGACAATGATTTAAATGACTTTATATCAAATCAATGTGCTAAGACAAATAGTCATTAACTCTTTTTGATGACCCCAGTTTCCTGTAGAGAATACTGTGATAATTCAGCCCATTTTCGAAACCATTATGACTACTGATACTAATGGGCTAATAAGTTATTTATAGCAAACATGAATTGTAGGAATGTAGATCTAACTAACCTGTGCCCTAAAATCTCTATCAGCAGCTTCTAATTCTCGTTTTAAACTTTCTACTTGCTGTCTGTAATAACAAGAGTACATACATATTAACCAACTGTAATATTATCTTCATGTTTAAATATTTCCGAGCTCTAGTAGAATTATTGCCTTTATATATATCATGTACTATAAAAATTGACTTACTTATACATAGCTCTTTCTTCTTCTGTTTGTTTAGATTTTTCATCAGCATTAACTAGTTTATTTATATTCTGTTTCTTTAATACTTCTTGTTCACCTAATTCTCTAGAAAATACAATAGAGGGGAATAAGGTATAAACTTACAGAAGTAAACTAGGCTAGTCATCTTCTAAAGTATATTTTATTTACATTCAAGAGAGAAATGGGGTTTAACGTCCACTCGACACAAACTAGGTCATTTCGAGACTAACATATGGTTTAATTTTATTTCAATAATCTGCTTGCGCGTAGGGGTCTTTAGTAGTGGGAGGAAACCGGAGGACCCAGAGAAAACCCACGTGGTTGGACAGGCGACCCTACTCCTTGTCACGTACAACCGGGGATTCGAAACCACACCAGTTGACTCAATGACAGGCCTTATGATACAGCGTACACGTGCTAACCATTCGGCCATCCACCCCCACCCCCCATTTACATTCAATAAAAACATGAAGTATTATGGAGACAAACGACGTGACACACATGAAGATAAAACAAAGAATGACTGCAGCGTGTATTGCAGTGCACTTGTCGATTGCAACCTGTCTCATCAGAGTGCAAGTCCAGTGATACACACTCAGAGTGTCAGTGTTTATATTTTAACACTATTCACTTGATAGGACAGTACTTTTATTGTTAATTGCTTACAAGTCAGTGTGTTTATGTATTAATGTGTTTTGTCCGCAGGTATGTCTTCTGTGTTTCTGCTTGGCTGTTTTGTGTTGTGTAACTATTATCTGATACCTAAAAGTAGTCTCTTACAACAGTTGATGCATGAAAGGGATCAGTGGTGCATTTGCAAAGAAAACTTTTCAGCCATTCTAAATATAAGGTACCTAAACTTGCATATATTTTACACAAGAGCTCAGCAGCTCACCATCATTTTCCAAATGGCAAGGTGTCTTTTCACTGCAATTTCTATCTTTCATGTTATTTAGGATATGCTTACTCTTTCTAGAACACCTGCTACCACTTCTCATTTGTTACGGAAGTTAAAAAAAATAACAATCAAAAATGTATGGTTCTTACTTCTGAAGCTGCATTTCTTTTTCTTTAAAATAGTTTGATAAAACATTTAATTTAGTTTGAGATTCTTGGAACTGTCTTTCTGCTTTCATTTTATCTGCTTGGAATGATTCCATTTCACGTCTTAATTTATCTAACTGTTCTGTAATATAAAAATAGTCAAACTGTTTAAAATCTGACAGATGATTATTACTCAATAATGCAATCCTCTTATATAGAGATATCAAACGAGTAGGAGATTTTATTTATCACCCAATTCTTTCTTCTGCATAGATAAATAAATATAACTCTTTGGTATAGATTTAATTTTACTGAACCTGATTACATTATGGCGTAGTGATACATCATTTTTTGACAGCAAGTCACCCATTGCAAAGTCCTATATATTGACCCGGTGTTTCCTTGATTGAATAAACAAACTGTATAATTCTTGGATGTTTATGGGGAGTATTGTAATTGTTTATAGTAATTAAGAATTTTTCTCCAACAATATAACTGGATCTTAAGTAGTTCCTTTTTAATAAAGAAAGTTGTAGGGATGTCATAGATTTGATAACCATCTTATTATGAACAAAGTATCACATTTCTAACATATAAAGTTTTATATTTCTAGAATATAAAGTTTTATATTTCTCGAATATAAAGTTTTATATTTCTCGAATAATATAAGTTTTTATATTTATAGAAAATATGTTTATACTTTCAGAATATTAGCTCACCTTCTACTTCCTGTCTAGCCTCTGTTTCAATCTGTAGTTTATTTTCTAATGTATCTCTATCTTCCTGTACAGTTCGTAATGAAGCATTAACTTTAGCTACATCAATCATTGTCTGTAGTTTATCATGTACAGCACCACTTTCATCTGATGGTTCTATAAATACAATTAATATCTATAACATACAACTTCTGAGATCATGAAACTTATATTAATTAATGTTAAAAACTATTTTTTCATAGTTTAATCCATGGCATTCCAAACTAATATGGATTCACATTGATTATTTAACCTTTAATTAAAGATACATTATGGGAGATTAGATAAAGAGCTGGCAGTTCTCACTATAATGGTTAAAAACTAAATAATGTAAAGGGAATTTGCTGAAAATTTCAGTCAAATTGATCCACTCTGAATCGAGAATTTAGCAATTGAATTTTCGGCTTATCCTTGATCATCATTACTAAAGTTGGTACGATAAAAAACATAGTCTCAATTATCCATTTCATGATTAAATCATGAATAAAATTTGAGCAGCAAATCAGATCCTAATCCAGTAAATATAACAGGCTAGCGATGACATCGAGAATTGATTATGATCTGGATAAGTTAATAATGTCTAATCAATAATTAAGATAACATTTCAGGCCAAAAGAAAGAGCTGAAATGGGCAGATTTAGCTCTTGCATAATGTATGTTTCAGAAAACAAAATCAAAATCAAAATATGAAAGTTGAACAATGCCCTGGTTTGGATTCAATCAGATTAAATAGATTTCTATCAAAGAATTTTATTCATCCATCGGCAATTCAATTCAGAATATCTTTGTAAATACTGAACAAAGCTGAACTATTCTTAGACTGATATGTTTTTTAAGAGATACAAATTTCACGACAAAGTAGTTTGCAACTTGCAAGGGTATCAAAATGCCTCAAATGACTTCATATCTTTCTGGTGACTACAATAAAATAGCATTGGTTTGGCCAAATATGATAAAGCAAGGATTAATTACTGGCAAGAACTGTTTGAATTTTGAGTAAAAAGTTAGTTAACTAACTGGATATAGTCAAGTTTGTTTATTAGTAAAGAAATGGAACATATTGTTCCATTTCCTCCAATATATTCAAGAAGACAAACTTCAACAACCCATAAACTAAACAATTGTGTTAAGAACAGTTTTACAAACCTTCTTCCATTTCTTTTTCATTTTCAAAAGCTTTCAATTGTACAAAACATTCTCTTAACACCTGAAAAACATCAATAGTAGGATCCAGAGTTTAGAGGAGAAATGGTATGAATGAAAGAAATCTGATTAAACTACAGATCTATATTTCATTTTGTTTTTTAATATTTTTGATGGCCTTTTGCTACATGAATATCTGACTGGTTGTAGTGGGAGGTCATGTCAGGGGTCATACAAGAGGCTTTTGACACTATGACGTGAGACATTTTATTTACCAATCAGCGTTGATGTTTCTAGTGGGATACCCACAGTTCTGTGCACTGCATGTTAAGAACTCGTCGCAACAGACCGTTTCATTGGCTAATCCCTCACATCAACCAGAACTCAGGATATATGACAACTCTTCCAGATAATAGTATAGTAAAAGCAAGCAAAACGAAATAGGATTTGTGTTTTTATCAGATTCGAATGGAAGATTCGTTTGCTTCAAAATTGAAAAGATTTTAATGCAATTCTGTAATATGAGGCAATACACAACATAGATGTCAAATCAAGCCTTTTTACAAGACAGGAGCCTGAGGTGGCCTAGTCAATAATAGCCAGGAATTCCTGGGTACATCAATGTGTAGACCCAGAAGGTTCCTCAGGATTTTCCAGCCTGCTTTATCCCTTATCAGTGGTATACCATTAGCAGCATGTAAAAGATCCTAACAGTTGAAAAACAAAATAAGGGTAGGCCATAGCTAACGCTGTTGTAGCGCTCCCTCATAACACACAGCCTCGTTCTTCACTAGAATTTGACAAGAATTAAGTTCAGACTTCTCTTACATATGAAATAAAACTTACTTCAAATTCTCTATCTTTAAACGCCACAGTTTCTTGCATTTGTTTAAATTCTTCTTCTGTTTGACTCAGTCTTTCATTTAAATCATCAACTCTAAACAATGAAAAATTACCATACTTATATAGAACACAATTTATGATGAATAATTCTCAAGAGATGGGGGTTTAGTCACACAAACTAGGTCATTTTGGGACTAACATATGGTTTAATTTTATTTCAATAATTTGCTTGCGCGTTGGGGTCTTTAGCAGTGGAAGGAAACCGGAGGACCCAGGGAAAAGCCACGAGTTTGGACAGGCGACTCTACTCCTTGTCACGTACAACCGGGGAATCGAAACCACGCTAATTGACTCAATGACAGACCTTATGATACAGCACTCATGTGCTAACCATTCAGCCATCCAAACCCCCCTATTGGTAAAGAAAGTAAGAATTGCAACATCTATAATGCCATGATAATCTATAGTTTTAGTAAAAATATCTAAATATGGTTACTTTTCTTTCCAGTCAGCAGCTTCTGATAATAATTGTTGTTTTCTAGTTTCTAGATGTTGAACTTGATCAGATAAACTTTTCATCTGAGATGTTTTCGTGGCTACTTCTTCTATATTATCCTGCATCTCTTGTGTTTTCTATAATAATAATAATAAAAATTCAATAAGTTTTAAATTGCTTTCTGGTAGGGCTGCAACTATTCATCGATGAATTGATGAACCGCGATGTTTTAAAAATCCATGATGCACGATACAATCAATGGCCGTATCGCGATTCGTTATCCAAATAATAATTTCACAAAAATAGACTAATATTCCTTTAAATGCGTAAATATGTCCACGAGCAAAATAACTTTTTTACTTTCAGCGAGTGTTAAGGCGTTTTCGACACATGAAGTGGCTTATTATAACTATTTCGTCAAGATTAAAATATCAGTCTGGTTATGCAAGTCGATGCTGGAAATTAAGTTGCGTTCAAATTACACACTTGAATAATATGCGGAAAAAAAAATACAACATATTAATATATATTATACGTCAGTAATATGCAATTTGTGATAATATTACTGTATAAGAATGGCGATTTGTACATACTGCATACACTGATCAGCACATTTCCAATGTATATTAATATTTGATATCAAAATATTTGTAACGTTATTTCCTTTGCTGTTCCGTAAATCTATGACTGACCTGACAACGAGAAAGCTTTTCATTGACTGAACATGGCAATACTAGCCAACCAGCTGAAATTTGTTTTGTAATGAATTCACCAAATTTAAGTCGCATTATCAGAAAAAGCAATATTGAGATCAAAATCCCACATACCAAGTCACAAGTAAAGTATGGAAGTTTTTAGGATGTTGTAATCTTACCGGGAAAAGATGGGCTTCTGATATCCAATATTTAAGACAAATAAACATTTTACCATTTGTACACGAATCAGGCCCATTTTTAACAAGGGACTCGAAGAAAGAGGCTAGACATATTCCACAAGTCATGTCAAACAGTGACAGCATATTTACATCTGGCAAGTATGCACAATAAATATTATGTAAACTAGAATAACCAGACGCTAGAGATTGTCATTTGATTGAGACTTCTGGCGTATTTCGCTGAACATAACTGATTTGAAATTAGAGTAGAAACCGAAATGATTGAATGTAAATCAATTTATATACATTCATATTACATTATTATATGCGTTGCGACCCATTTGTGTCAATTTGTAGGTCCCTATTAATAGCGATTTAGCTCTTTTAAATTTATTTCCTATATCGCGATATTAATCATATCGTAGACTATAAATCGTGATGCACATCGTATCGTGGCCTGACGTATCGTTGCAGCCCTACTTTCTAGTTTTAATGTATTTTTTAAATTTTGTGTAAAGTATGTCAATTAGCTTTATTTCATATCACTTTTCAAATTAATCTTTTAACATACAACAAGGAAATTATATAGGAGTTAGTTTATCAAGAAATAACTGATTTAGATAAAACTGTTGAGTGTAAAATAGCTTTATTTAACGTCTGCTTCCATTGAAGTGATATAGCAGACAATTACATGTTATATATACAGATGAGATGAAATATTTACAGGGTGATTAGCGAAAAGGTGAACAGATTAGTTCAATATTGATATATATGTACATTAAGAACAAAAGAAAACAATGGATGATTTAACAGACAAGGACATATATACATTTATTCAGATAAAACAGCTGATGCCTAGCTATATACTCTTATCAATAGGCCTTTTGGGACTCTCATTACACATCTAAAAACCATCAAAACCTGCTTACCGGTAAATCCAGCTAAATAGTCCCTGGACACACCTCATTAAGAATCAAATCTAAGAAGCTTGATTGACCAGAACATGAAATGACCAACGTCTAATACTTACCTTTTCTAGATTTTTTTCAGCTTTTTTAGCTCTCTCCTCTAGTTTATGTACTTGTTTCTCTAATTCTTTCACCTGTCACAAAAATAATAAGAAAACTTTTACTAATAATGACATCATATGAAATTAAGTAAGTTTCTCAAATCTCTAAGCGCAGGTTCTTTTATGTAGCTATAACTTTTTCCTTTAGCATAATCCAACAGAGCACCAACTTTAACTTAATGACAATTCAAAATACTTATCAATCAACCAACCAACCAATCAGTGAACATAGAATTTGTTTAGTCCAAACAATACTTCAGTATGTACTATAAATTAATGTGGATTCTTCTATTGTTTATTATTATCAAATAAAGGTTGTGCAAAGTGAAAAGATAGTTTTGTCTGCAGAAATAACTAAAATGACTTGTTCTTTGATTTAAATGTCCTACTGGATTCAAATGGATGGAGTGAGTGGCATTTGATTACTGTCTCATTTGAAGGTCAGTACGCTTTATAGAATATTATGAATATTGATAGAAATGAGAGAGAGAGAGAGAGAAATGGGGTTTAACGTCCACTCGACACAAACTTTGAGGGAAATGAATTGCATATATTTGGATTTTTAGAATATTATTCTCACCCGTTTATCTTTATCTAGAGAAGAACCTTTAGTTTCTTTAACTTCAAACTCATATTCATCTATCTGTTTCTGTAAACTGTTCACTTGCTGTTTTAAAGCATCATTATGAAACTAAAATATTAAACGTAGGTTGTCATTTACATTTATAACACTGCTTTTACGGTGACAAGTCAATACATTAATTTTCTGTATATAATCATTTATTTTCGATATTACATGTAGATCTTAATAATGAAATGCAGTCTCAAGTTAGTCTCAATTTTTACTTGTCTAGGTTATAAAGAAAGGGGTGAAGCATTAGCTTCCCGTTCTACTTGTTTTAGATTCATATTTGATTAAACACATGGTAATTTGATTGACAGCTTAACCTGGCCAATGAAAATCTTGGTTGTGTCTAGACACAAATGTACATCAGACTTCTAGGTATTTGATTGGGTAAATTGAGTTAGGTTAAAGTCTAAGTCATATATCCAAAAGTTCACAATATTGTCCTGTCAATGATATCTCATCAAAAACTGAGTAAACATAAACAATCTACATCAGTGAATTACAATTTGAATATTCACATATAAACATTGTCTGGTTCTATGGCTACTATATTCATTCAGTGATGGGGAGAGATAGTAATATCAGGTGTAGTAGCAGTATATATATAAGTATATTTACCTGTAAATTTTGTATATTCGCTTTAGATTTACCAGATACAGATTGTTGTGAAGATAACTGTTTCTCATATTTCTTTATCTGTAATAAAAACATTCACAAAATAAAATAAGACATAAGTCAAACTGGTATATTTGGAGACGGACATAATATAAGGATATTAGTTTGATTTTAATCATTGTTTCATCAATCTATAATTAACGCACTTGCACTCAGATTATTTGGTGCAAGGCATTGCTTGTAAACCACAGTGGACACTTACGGCTGACCCCCCGGGATCCATTCACTTGATATGATGTTTATTGTTTACAATGTCTGCGTAGCTTATGACTTGTCAGCAGGTTTTTCCTTTTGGTTTTGTTTGTGTGTAGTGCGGTCCCCCTGCACTTACTATTATAATTAATCATCTATTTATCACTTACTTCTTTCTGGGCTTCTTCAAGAGCATCTTCCAAACTTTCTTTCTCTTTTGTAGCAATGAAGAGTTTGTCTTCTAGATTTTTTACCACTACTACAAAATATAATAAATTCTCATATTAACATCTCCTAACATATTTAACACTGGTTTTATTAGAAATTGTTGACTTAAAACTTTTGGACTTGATTAATCTCTGGATGTGCCAAAAATGAAAGTATTTCAATTTTACTATGTTTCATGCAATTCAATTGGTTTGTAATAATGATCAATAAAATTTTCTCCAAACTATAAATGCAAAGTTCTTACCTACTGCTTTTGCTACCTTCTTTCCAGTCTGGAATAAAATGAGAAAATATTTAATTGTGTATATGATTATATGTTACATTAATATAAAACTCACAGTACCAACAGACAATTTAACAAACAAGGAGAACCTTTAAAATTTGACCATCATGATTTTGTATCTTTAAACGCAAAATTCATGTGGACACTTGTTTTAGCATAAAGATTTTTAAATACCGGTATCTAGCTGCTAGATTCTAGCATAGTAATGTTGCATAATATTGAAACCAGATTACATTGAAATCTACATCAGGTTAATTTCAGCAGAGTAAGTGACCATCGGTTAATTTAACAGCTGAAAACCAAATCAGCTATATCCCTAAAACAGGATTAATCTTTAAATTACAAATCTACAAATCAAATTAACATGTCCTATCTAAATCTTGTTCTTTTATACTGAATTTCTACCTTTCCGATAAGACAATAACTGAAGTATTTCAATGTTTAGGTGTGTAAAATTACTTACCACAACACCACTGCTAGAACAACATGTAGTAACTATCAGTAATACAATAGATGATATCGTCATGATCACCATTAAAGCTGGTGACATTCCTAATGGTTCTTTTTCTAGAAAACTTTGTAGACTGGCTGGCATCTGTAAGTAAAATAAAATTCACATTAATACAGTTTGAAACCCAACTAACAGACTTTTTGAAACTTGCATGATACATGTACATTGGATATATCATATTTTTGTGAATGGTATACAAGAGTAGCACATCAACAGGTAAGCAGGACGAGTTGCTTTATTTCATAATTTACAAAATATATTATTCACTCAGATGAGAATTGTACTTACCAATGCTATAATAGGTCGAGTGATACGGTCAGCAAAACCATTTCGTTTAACAGGAGAACCAAATGAATCGTCCTCTAAATTTTCATCTGTGATCTTTCTACTAGAAACAGAATCAGTTTTATATGGATCTGTGTCTGAAGTTATTTCTTCTTCTTTAGGAACATCAGCAAAACTGTCTGATGTGTCTGATGGTGATGGAAAATCTTCATAAGAATAAACATCCTCTCCATCATATTTTTCTCGTGGTTTAGTTACTTCTTCTTGTGGTTGTGTTGTTTCTGGTTCTTCTATGGGAGGTGGGACAAGTTCACCGACTACTGTTGGGAGAGTTGTACCTTCCTCTTCAGCAACATGACCATCTGTAGTTGCTTCAGGTGTTTGTGGAGTCTCAGTGACAACAGGTTCATCATGATGTGTTACTTGAGGTGTTCGAGTATTCTGTCCATTATTTACAGCTAATGGTTTCCTTGATAAATAATCATCACTTTGGTATGTACTAGATAAAATTTCTGGCTCAAGGGGAATGTTTGGCTGTTCTTGAACAGGTTCTGTTAAATTAGCAACTGGTTCTTCTAGTGGGGCATCTTCTATAACCACAGAGGACTCTGAGAGTCCTGCGGTTTCTGCAAGATTAACAACACCTTCTGCAGGAATCCCAACACTTTCTGTAACAGGCTTTTCTATTGTCTGACTGCTGACTACAGCTTCCACTTTATGTGATGGGTGACCAAGTTCTTCAGTTTTAGCAAAGACTGGAGATTCTTGTTGGATACTGTTAGAAAACCCTAAATTACTGGAAGAATACAGAAGTGTATTATCATAATCATCATTCAGATTTATTGTAGTACCATCAATAACTATTTGTGAAGTTTCATCTTGATTTTTAGAATGGAGCACTTCAGTAGATAGTTGTTGGACACTAACTGGTGTGGCTTGAATCAACGGTTCTACATTAACACTTTGCTTATTTTGAGGGGTAGCAGCTTGAAGGGGTTCATGAGGTGCGTTAACAACAGATTGATGAGCTGGTGCAGATGATTCAGTTGGTACTTTTTGAATTGTAATCGTATTTTGAGGTGGAGTAATATCTATCACAGTATTAGTTTCTGTGGGAGGACCATTTTCAGCTCTAGGTTTGTCTATATTAACCAGTGTTTCAGTCTTATGGACAGGTTTCTCAGCTTCTTCTGGTTTAGGTTTAGCTTGTGCCTGTTTTTGTGCAGCTACTGCTTGTTGTAGCAGCTCGTCTGGTGTTGGCAATACAGGTTTTTTACCAAATGGGGGTTGTTCAGAGAGGACCTTATCAGTTTCTTGGGAGAATTGGTTAACCTGAGCCTGGTTAGCAGCTGGGGTTACTTCTTGTTGTTCAGTTGGTTGTTTCTGATTTGTAGCTTGAGATGGTTTGTCTTTACCCTTGAAGTACAGATCATCTTTAACTGTTTCTTCCTGGACTTCTTCATCATCATCATCAGCTATTTCAGTAGAATCCTCATCCTCATCAAATCTTTCATCCATATCATCTCTTTCTTCATCCAGATCTGTTTCTTCAACAGTTTCATCAACTTCCTTATGAGTCTCTTTCTGTGCGATTTTTTCCTGTGCTATATCTTCAGTTGCTTTATTTTCATGAAAATTACTATTGATTTCTTGTTTGGTGTCTAATTGAGCAGGCTGTTCTGTGGGAGATTTTTCTTTTTGTTCAGGATTTGGAGGCTGTTGCTGTGGTGGGTCTTCTTTAGTTTCTTCAACTTTTCCACCAGAAAATGTATTCTTTAAATATTTATTCAAATCTGAAATATATAGATCTCATTATTAGGTATCTATATCCTACTAACTGACACATCATGTCATGATAATTAGGCCCCACCAATTTGATTTTCTGTTCCTCGGGAATACTTGTAAAGATTTTTCATTTTTTCTCTTCTTAAAGTAAAGACTTATTTAAAAACCAAAAGTACTTAGTTGTGCTGTTTAACAGCTTTTAGTTCCAAAATTTTTAAGTTTTGAAATTTTATACAAAATTTATTTATCAAGAACAGAAAATCGAATTGGTGTGGTCTTACAGGACAATAACCCCTGTATACCTGATACATAAACAACATAAAAGAACAAATCAAACTAAAAATCCTGAAGTACATTCACATAGAAATAGTTGTCATAACAATAAAATATCTTAGGATTTTTTTTATGGATAGAAAATTATATAGTGGCTAAATTGAAAGTAGTACTTTTATAATAAACACAATTATACTTATCACGAAATATTTAGACTTTTGCAATTTCACAATATTCAGATGAAATCAAATGAAGGGTTTGCATGCTTTTATATTAATTCAAAACAAACATGCAACACGATTCATGCTTTTAAAATTACAAATCTGTGTGTACATTCTTATAAATTGTGCAAAAAATAATATAACATACACAAACAAACATATTATTACATGTACAGTCATATATAAACTACAAGCCCGTAAATAAACAATATGCCATGGAAAATAATGAGCTCGAATTCGAGTTCTTTAGGTTCAAACCTTTTTGCCAGATATAACCAAAAGGTTTCTTTCCAAAGCTTTTATATACACCATCTACCACAAAAGTTCTTTAGGTCAAAATAAAAAAATACCTGTGTTTAAGGTTACCCGACCAACACTATTTGTTTTAACCAAAATTTCTGACCCAGAAATATTTTCCCTCATTCCCCAAGCCTTATAACTCGATTTTGGTGTGATTTTCTCCTGACAAATTCAAACAATGAAAATGTGGTATCATTTTCAAGAACCTTACTCAGTAATAAAGTTAAAAATGCTAGGAAATAGATAAAACTAACCCCACAAAAAAATAAATAAAAAGATTTTCCTACCAACTGTCCATATTTTTGGTGGGCCAAGTAACAGTAAACAAGGGTATTATTTTCTTAGCCTTACTAATAGGTTACATACATATCAATAAATACTACAATTAGCATATACAATCATGTATTTGAAAAAATGAAATGAAATGGGATATAACATGAGGGAAATTTTGCCTCGACAGTGGCACTACATCCTACTTTTATTTCAAATTCCAACTGCAAGGGATCTTTTACATGTACACCGATGTGTACATGGGGCCTCGTTTTTTTGTCCCATCCGAACGACTATACGCTGTCCTGCATGACTGACTAAGAGGAACTAAGTCGGAAAATCCTGATGAACTTTATTGGCCAACGCAGGGATCGAACACAAGATCTCCACGTTAGCGAGCCAATGTCTTACTCACTGAGCTCATGTATCTGAACACCTGAATTCAACAAATGCCTAAAATCCATAAAACTAAGCTGGTATTTGTAGAAGTCAGGTAATCATTTATATGTAGCTGTTTATTTCCATTCAAATAGCTTATCACTACTTTCATTTTCAAGAAATATAATCCATTCATGCTGTATCTAGTATATATGTCAGCAAACTGTTAATTAATACTACAGAAAATAGTCAAAATTTCAAGATACAATTGTATTAGTCGTTATTATATCTGTTATCCCCATTAATAAAACAAAGTTGGGTAATATGCTGGTTAGAAATCCTCATTCCGGGGCATTTGATACCAATCCATGATAAATATACAGTGTGCAGCCACATCTTTTGGTGATACCTTTCAATATCAAAGGAACATCAAGTATAATTTTTGTCTTCATATCTGGTTTTAGTTTTAATCAGATAATCTGAGCCTAATATTTGGATTAAACATATTGGGTTCAATTTAAAATAGAGGAATGGTCACGCCCAATGTACTTCACAAATGTCAAATATGATAAGTTAGCCATGTATGTATTTATCTTCTGACTGCAATAAAAGTTGTTTGTAGTGACATCTAGCAACTAGAATAGTCTTCAATATAATGAAGATACTTTTTCCAAAAAAAGATTGAAACCATGCCAAATTTAGGTTAAAAACTGGCATTTATGTTCGAAATACCAAAATAACATGATTGAATTATGTATCAATGATTTTAAAACAATATTTTATTTCTGCTTTCAGTAATAAATATTGTCACAGCATTGGCCATATTTTGGAAAAAGTGGTTGCATCCAATGAAAAAACTTCTGCTTACTTTTACTGTCTGACAAACAACATCCAATGCAGTCACAGGTGAATAACATATTTTAACATTTGACAACTCTGATTGTGTGTGTTTTAACAACAACACATTTCCTTTGAATTTGATGTTCCTTAGGTGAAAAGCAAGGGATTAAAATAATGAGATTAAAACAGATATAAAGCACACTAGTATATACTACTATATATAAACCTTCTACGGATTCTTTTCCCACATTGTGTGATGATACATCATCAAGATGAAAAAACGCTTCATCAATTATATCTCTAGGCTGGGCTTTATTATTTCCAACTGTTTCTTGTTCTGTAACACAATTTCTTTCTTAATTCAACATTTCATTTTTTTTTTTAAAAAGACAAAGCATGCTTCATGCTCATACAAGAAGAAATTACCGATACATACAAAAATTTATCATAATCATTTTAAAATAAACCACAATAATAAATATACAAACTGATATTAATGTTATTATTGTACAGATAATCATTTTTAACAGAAAGACAGAGCTAAAAACAACAATGCCAACAAATTCTGCCCAACAAGTTCTAAAACAATCTCTGCAAAATTCCAATAAGAAGTCCCTCCTGTAATTCATCCACAGGCTTTAAAGCAGCTAAAGCAAATTAATTCTATGAATTTCCAAATTCGCAAATCCATCATTTCAGCAGTTGCCCATTAATGGATTTGATCAATGTATGATATAACTGATTCCAAGATCAAGAAACCTCTTCAATTTAACTCAAGATTTTACTTAGATTTATAAAATTATAAAGTAACAGATTTAACAAATTTATAGATTGAAAAACAATAATGAAAGGAAACATATATGCACTAAACATGGTCAACGATAGGTATTCTATTTTGAATTCAATCCATATCCTACTCCCTTAAAGATTTATATACACTAAACATGGTCTCCTTGAGGTATTCTATATTCAATTCAATTAGTATCCTACCCCCTTAAAGATTTATAATAATTCTGACATCATGTCCAAAAGTTTGTTCAATAAACAATAATAATCCATTCAATTGTTCAATAAAATAAACTACTTACTACTTAATGACCATCCACTATCATCTTCTACTGTATCACCTGTAGGTTCTTCATCTGGTATTTCTGTTTCATCAATCTCGGTATCATCTTTAGTATCTGCTACTTCTGTTTCTTTCACTTGTTGTTGTTCAGGTACCTGGGCTTGTTGTTGAACAGCAGGTTTATCTGCTGATGATGGTGCATGAGCATCAACTACTGGTTTTTCTACAACTTCTTCTTTAACTTCGGTTTCATCAACTTCGGTTTCGTCCAATTCTGTCTCATCTTTCTGTTGGCGGTCCTCTGCCTGTGGTACTAAAATTTCTTTGACTTCTGAAAAAAAATTCTACACATTAATGTCTTACAGAATCAAGAATAAATATTGATGCTACAGAGAAATGGTACAACTTTTAACATGTTGTTCTTTTATGAATAATATTTCAATAATTTCTACCTGTATTTGTCTGTAGTGGAATATTATCATCTGGTTCATCTGAAACTTCGGTTTCATCTTTATCAATATTTTCTACTTTCATATTTACTACATTTTCAGTTGCAGGAACTACATTTTCTTGAACAGTTTTATCTTCTGGTACAGCACTCTCTTTTACTTCTACATTTTCCTGGGTCACCTTTTCTTCTTGCTTAGTATTTTCAACAGATTCTGGGACTTTTTGGTTCTGTTTTTCTTGTATTTCTTCAGTATTTTCGTCTGTTTCATTATCATCTTCTTCATTCTCCTCCTCATCATCTGCTGCCTTCTGTCCACCTTTTTGTAAAGCTAGTTCACCTGGTGTATAATGTTTCTAGAATATAGAACAACAAATAAAATATAATATGTAATAAAAATTGATTGGCATGCCTAGTACCAAAATCAGACAGAGGACATTTGTTTATGTAGTGGAACAGTCTAAACTGTGATTGTTTAAAAATATTCCAAGACTTTATTCTTTGCATCAACAGAACATCTCAAAAATAAATCTATCTGAAAATTAATTCTAATGATCTCTGGTGTCATATTTTTAATTGTAATATTGCTATTTGTTTTGAGCATTTTCATACTTGTTTTACTGTAATCAATACTGTAATGTGCCAAAGAACTTTCAAACTAACTGTATGTTCAGGGGTGTAGAAAATAATTTTCATTTGAAGAGCCCCGGGGAAGAACGATCTAAGTCACTTTTTCAACGAACACCAATTAATAGCGCCATCTGGTAGCAAATTTTTATAAGCCTTCTGTGGAACAATCAATTTCAGGTAAAAACGATTGGAGTCACACAGAACCAAGGCCCTTCTGAAATGGCCTCCCGGACAAATACAAGTCATTGTACCCTTTATTTGACCTTAATTTGGCTGAAAAGTGGAAGTCATTTGTTGTACTGGTAATTATGATTTCTATTAAACATCATTGTGAGGTTGTAATTAAACCCACTCGTTGTTCTGTTCGTGTCAAGCATTCTCGCCCAAAGTCTGTTTTGCTTTTTATGCGAAAAGACAAATATGTGACTTAGATCGTTCTTCCCCTGGAGTCTTCATTTATTTTAATATGAGAATGTCAATAAATTCAACACCCATCACTGTAGAATACACAAACCCAACGTGTTGTGTAAAAGGGTTGTCTATCTTAGATCAATCAATGATAAATTTTCCACACAGTAAATATTGATGTGTATTGATTTTACAATACCAATTATTCACATAACTTCAAACACGAACAGGTTGTCAGGCCTATTTCAATTTCCTTCACTAATTGGAATTTAATTAATTACAATGTACAAGACAATGAAGTTTATGTGAAATCACATTCCTTCTTTATGATTAGTTTTATCTTGTAGACAGTAAGTTATTCATCATGATACATACCTCTGTACCTGTTTCATAGTCCAATTTTCTGTGCATGACTTCAAATTCACGAACAAATGCATATGGAAAATATCCTCGGATTCCATTTAGCTATAAAAAACCCCCAAACAATTACATAATTTAAATTTGCTTGTTAATAAAAACAATGTGCATAAATAATCAAATATCTCATAATATTTTTAAAACTGTTGCACTATGCTTTAATGTGTTTATGGCAATGCCAGCACCATAAACTTCTGATCTTTTTTTCCAGGTTAAAATTTAAAAGTTCAGTCAGCTCACCTCTCCACTCCATAAATCTGGACGATTACCAGCTGACTTGCTTTTGATTAGTATAACATCACCTCTTCGGAATGATAAATACATAGGATCATTGGAATTATGGTTAGCTAAAGCTTGAGCTTTACTGATGGTTTCTGCAAAAGATAAAGAAATGGGGTAAATGAGACAGTTCAACATTCTCAAAATGACATAAACTAGACGATAAGACCATGTTTGAATACTGTGAGGATTAATGGTGGAGCAATGGATGAGGAGTGTTTACACAGAAACAGACAAATAAGTCAGAAATTAAGAAGCATTGGTTATCCATGTAGCTATGTTTGGCCTTACATTTTGTTTTACTATGCACATATTTATACACCAACTGTGCTCACCCTCACTTAATTACGACTAAAGTTATCCTGTCCCAAAGCATCAACCAATCAAATTGCTTATCTCTGCTTACCCTAAGCAGAAAATGCTCAAGGCATTGATCTAATAAATATGTCCACCAAGTTTGAACATTCTAGATGAATTAGAAGGAGAGTTATTGTGTCCCAAAAAGTGTGATGGATGGACAGGCGGACAAACCCATTTTTATAGTCACCTGCTTTCTTTGAAAGGCAGGGGACAATAACATGCAGATGCACCGTATAGTCATAGACCTCTTAAGGAACAGCAAAATTTCCAAAGGGGAATGTTTATGAAAAGAATGTTTCATTTCTTAGTCCGTAGTTGATAAATTCATTAGAAAAAGACCATTTCAAAACACCAAAGAAAATATTAACATGAAACGTGGTTATTAAAAGGCTCCACCAAAAGATAAAACATTAGTTGCAACAAATGTTCTTTATCATCATTTCCCGTAAAAGTAATACATTCTTTAAATAAGAATAATATGCTGTTGAATTTCTTTCAAAATGACCTACACAAAAACAAAGTAAATATTTACACGACATGCACTCTTTTTACAAGTCCCTAGAATTTTTTAAGCTGCATGTTGACATGCATTCCTTGACAAGTTTGCCATAGACAGCAGCACCAATCGATAAATTAGTGTGTACAAAGAAAACTCTTTTGGAAAACATTAGAAATGGCAACGATCAAAGTGGGATAAATAAAGCTGATTAACCGATAATCCCATTGTTATTGTAGTATGTGCAAAGAAACCTTATGGTTCTTTGGTGGATGAGGAAAAACATGAGTTGTCAATCATTGATAATGACGGCCGTGTGTTGATTTGATTATTCTGACTCACGTAAATAACATTTAGGCTTTCACAATTATAAAAACATTAGCAGAGATATGTCAATCAAGCTTGTTTACTGTTTTTAAAAGAAAAACAACGAAGTATTACTAAATCTACACAACTATATCACACAAATTTTCAAGTCTTTTAATAATTCATCTGAGTCCGAAACATCGCCAAGTAAGTCCGAACTGTCATCAAACTGAGTCCGAAAGGTTGTCTGTAGTGTGTTGAATCTGAAATGCTGCGTGACCGAAATGTCGTGCTACCCTGTAATTGACTAATTAATATGGGATTTCACATGATTTCAGTCTAACAAAACAGTCGACGAAACGAAATTTGGATAAAAATTAGAATCTTTGAAAAAAATCAGAATCTTCAGTCATTTATTGCTGTTGTAATATTAAAAGGTGGGAAAAGCAATAAATGACTTAAGATTCTAATTTTTTTCAAAGATTCTAATTTTTATCCAAATTTCGTTTCATCGTGTTTTTGGCCAACATTCCTAAATATGGACGTTGACCTATATTTAGAGTGTCATGGCAGCGAAAAGGCAACTTGATAGGTGGAGACGTATTTTTTAACAGCCTGTTGTGTCGCTCATACTGGATCTAGCGAGGTAAGCGAGGTCTTATTTTCTCACTAAGATGTTCCTTTACATTGTTCAGGAATTCACAGGGACTGACACGCGAGCGTTTAGCGGTAAAAAGTTGCCCAGTAAAATTGACTGGGACGGTTGATTACTTTCGACATTGATTCAATGCTAGCTTCCCTGGACGTAGAGGAGAGTGTAATGAGACCTACGTTCAGAGCTAGACTACCCACGTCTAGGGCCTAGGAATAGGATGAAGCCCACCAAGTCACTTAGTGATAGTCAGAACGAATGACGATAATCTGCTATTCAATTATTATAAAATAAATATTATAAATTCAATCAAAATATCGTAAAGATGATGATAGTGTCATGTGCAATTCCCAAATGCAATCATGAATGCGGCAGTATAAATATGATTAAATTACACTCTACTCTCCACGGCCATTAATTAAATAATTTCCAATACAAAATACATAGAAATTAACATATGGACATCAAAAGAATCTTATGGGTGAAGCTGAATAATTACCTTGACAATCTCTGTCTGCACATAATCTTGCATCTGATATTTTTGACGTAAATACATGTGAAATAGATAAAAATAATAAAATAAACGCAACTTGCGTTCGCACCTTACAGGTGGCTGCCATGTTGTAATCCCGCATCAAATTACACGTCAGCGACCTTGAAACCGGTAGTTTCTTTTTATTTAAAAAAAAACAAATACTAAATCTATATACAGAATCGTTGGTATCACAATGTTAATTACTTGGGGGGTTTATATTACTAATCCTACCATAAATTTTGAGAAACGAAAGTTTTGATGTCGCACTGCATGATCCGCAGCAAACTTCATTCATTGACGGGGATTTTGCCAAACTGGTCAGCAGTGAATATTCGCTAGGCCGCTACAATCATAGAAAGGCGGAAGAAACGCTACAATCACTGAGAGGGGTGACATATTAGCTCACAATATTAACCCTTTTCCTTCTGCAAAATAAATGCTAAAACATTTTTTTTGAAGTAGTAGAAAAACTGTTTGAAGTATATCTAGTACAAAATGAATTCCTATTTGGTATAAAAATAAAAATAGGTACATAAATATGTACCCGAAGGCGTAAAATGAGTAAAAGGCACCATTCTGCTCGGACCATTTATCGTTAAGTAGACTAAGTTCACGCGCTATCGATGTCAATGATCGACACCGTGCGATGTGACGTCACACGTAGAATGCATGTGAACTTTATAAAGGTCAGTGATATATTATGTACCCTGTATGTGGGTCTTATACTGTCGAGTTATGTGATTTAATACTTTGTACGTTTTGTTCCATATGCAGGTTTCATACTGTTTATTTATGAGTGCTCTAAATTTATGTCCGTCCATATTTTTGTATCCGTCCATTTTTTTGCACCTGTATATTTTGTATATTGTATGTTGTCCTCGAGTGAGGTTCCGAGGCAATATTGTGTTTCTTGTGTAATAATTGTCATATCGTTATAATTTTTATGTACACGTTTATATTGTATGCTGTCCTAAATGGATGTTTCGATGCAATAAAATCTTATCTTATCTTATCTTATCTTATCTTATTACACAGAGTTACAGATTTTGCATTACCCGTGTGAAACAGATTGGGATTTTGCGTCTCCGCTGTGAAACAGTTTGACAGAATGTTTTAAATTATGGTGTTCTAGTTATGCCACTTTATGCATCGCCTTTTTAAAATGTATTATTGAATGGAAGGCAGGGCATTTTTTTTTACCAAAACAAAAAAAGCCTATCGATGAATATACCAAAACTGTATTTATGCACGAAAATTGTACGAATAGGCTACTGACCTAATGTGATTATATGTTTTACGAAAATAGAATATTTTGTCCCAAAACTAATGTAGTCTATAACCCCCCCCCCCCCCCACCACCACCTCCAAGTTATTATTATGTGCTGTTGTCCAAGTAGTAATAGGCCTAGGACTATTAAAGGATTGGTTAAAAGACGTAAAGCTTTAACGACATTACAAACTCCATTTAAATGTCCATTCCAATCAAAAGTGATGTTGTATATCTTACGTGAAAATAGGGGCTCCCGATGTCCACAGTGGCGGCACCAAGGAGGAGGGTCCCTTTGCCCCCTCATAAATTTGGTCTGCCCTCTCGACGATCAGTGCCTGAAATGCCGCAGTTCCGGCAGTCTATTTTTCAAATTTTCGGGGGCTTCGTTGAGGTTTGCAAGTCCGTTCGTTTGATACTTTCCTCTCTAGTCGGATAAACTAGTGATCAGGCGACGGGCGATATCTGGTCAACTCTATTTATCTCGACAATCGGAGCCTGAATACTGTAAAACTGCATTTCCTGCTGTTTAGTTTTCAAAATTTTCTGGGGGAGGCCCCTCATACCCTCCGTAATGGCTCGCTACTTTGGCGCTCATGATGGGGCTTCGTCGAGGTTTACAAGTCCTTTCGTTTGACACTTTCCACTCTGATCGGATGAACTAGTGGTCAGGCGACATCTGGTCAGATCTATTTATCTCGACGATAAGTGCCTGAAGTACTGCCGGACTGCAATTCCGGCAGTCTGTTTCTCAAATATTTCTGGGGAAGATCCCCCATACCCGTAGTTAAAGCTCGCTCCTTTGCCTTGGCCTTTGCTCAAACTTTGCCCCTCGAACCACCGGCGACTGGCGCCGCCACTGGATTTCCAATGTTAAAAAATACATTATGTAAGAGCTAAATCTGCCCATTGCAGATCTTTCATTTGGCGTCACAGAACAAGTCCGTAATCAACCCACTATAGGCCACCCCATGGTTGTGATTTAGAACTTCCGATCTAGTTCCTTTAGATCAGAGACAATTCCTAAAGGAACTACTGATGTGCTTGTTTTTAGCTACGATTGGGTGCCTTTAGTTTCACCTGGCAAACTTAATTTAGTTATTAATGCATGTATCATCTTAAAAATAAGTTAATTTCACACTATTAGGACTTATTAAACATACGTAATCCAATCTAGTGAAACAACTTTCGTTTATCTGCAAATATTGTCAATAAGGTGAATTAAGCGTTATTTTTATCAAAATTGATACAGACATTCAAAATTACGGTGAATTAATTAGTCCTGCGCAACTCGGATCAGTCAGTACTTTGATTGGCTGTTGTACACGACATTAAAAGTGGCCCCGCCTTCATGACGTAAAGATGTTAAATTGAAAATGCAGGGTAGACCAGATATTATCGCTTCGATTTAAAAGAGATTGTTTGTACCCGTGTTAGGTAGAATTATATGCGTAATTGTAGTTGGATGTGGCAGAAATGCTATGAATAACAATATTCATTCGCTGTTTTGAAGAAAAGATTGTCAGGTTTGCTTATTAAAATCCGGTTCTGATCTCCATCGAGTATTGCCAAGTGGATCTATAGTAGGCCCTACCATCCCTTATCTCGAAACACGGAGGGTTGAGAGATGAGGTTTCTTTTCTATATTCAAACGAATTTTGTGTATGTTTTTTAAATTTGTGTCAGATGTGTCGAGAATTAATGATTGTTTTTGGTGGAAATTACAGAATCACGGGTTAAAATAGAAGGTAAGAATTCCAAAATAGCCTTAGAATAGAGGTGAGGAAGAGCGGTATTTTCATATTGCAGCTTAATAGGGACGGATGACCGTTCCTAAAGGAACTACTTCTGATCATGGACTATCCTTTTTCGATTAACTTAATAGAAATTACGGTAAGAGGTTTAAAAATTGAATCTAAATCCGTTCATATAGCATACACTCATATTACATTAAAACAGTGATTCTCAACCAGTGTGCCGCAATATCTTCCGAAGTGTGCCGCGAAATTTTGAATGGCACATTCAGAAAATTTGTCACTAAAGAAACCAGCTATTTGACTGATGAAATTCGAAACACTGCAATAAAGTAAGTTCATAGCTGTGTTTATCTTTATTTAATTTGAGTCATTGTATGTGTCTAGGACTAGTCTGTGTCTACGGTTGTATGCCGTCTGTGACTTGCCATGTTTTTATTTTGCAAACTTCAAATATATTTCATATATATTTAGCCAGGTGTGCCGCTATTTTTTCATGTGTTCCAAGTTGTGCCGTTGGCAAAAAAAGGTTGAGAAACACTACATTAAAATGTGCCTTCTGGCCCATTTTTGTCCATTTTAAGTTCCAAATAATCGGGATTTACCTCCTTTAAGGAGGCAAGTCTCTAGCTCAATATCCTCCACAGTCTCCGAAATTGCAAACACGACTTATTTGCCAGTTTAAATCAACATTAATGTTGTTATCTTACCGTGGAAAAATAGGCTTCTGGTAAGACAAAATGAAAATTTTAAAATTGGCACACGATCGCGTGCCAGAATGCTTTCGAGCGCCATTTGTAATGAAGCGATTCGATGAACGAGACTAAATATATCCCACGGGAGAATGCTACCGGTGTAGACTGGAATAACCAGATGCCAAATACTGCCATTCACTTTGGCATCTTCGCGTATTTCGCCGAACATAACCGATGAAAAATTACAGTAAAAACAGAAACGATTGAAATACGCCAGAGGTTTCGGTCGAATGGCAATCTCTAGCCTCTGGTTATCCAGTCTACATCGGAAGTATTCATTCGCGTGCTCTCCAGATCAGAATATGTCGTCACCGTTTGAAATGACTTGCGGAATAGGTCTAGCCTCGTGTTTGGAGTCCCTTATTACAAATGGCGCTGAAACGCATCATGGTACACGATTCATGTACCAATAGTAATATGCACCCATTCCCATCGCTTCTCCCTAAGCTTAATTGAGATAGACAAATGGGCCGATTTTTTCGCCGAGTGGTCGGGTTTACCGGAGTCTCTTACACATTCAATCAAACCAAAAGTTCGTATTGTCAAGTATTGGGTGAAATTACTCCGTGCTCATGTGGAACCCGTAGCTATTATCCAGCAGTACATAATTATAAGTAGAAAGTGAACATCATACATTACATGTAAATATGATGATGAAGATGATGATCACTGTCTGTCTTTTTATACGTGTACTTTGATTTGGAAATACGAATTTTGAGATTAGGCGGGCGAGTTTTCCTTTGTTGTTTTGTCGACGTTCGCTTGGAACGGGGCGGCATTTTATTGATATGGTGGGCCGATAGGAATTTTTAATGCTGGGCGGGCCCAATTTTTTGATGGCGCACTTCCCCTGGGAAAATATGTTTGTGCGCTCCTGGATGTAGCCTCTTGTTTTACTTTTGATTTCCTTGTTTAAAATTGCGGGCACCCACGCCCACTTTCTATGTCGTTCCCATGTCATCAAAATTACGTCGTCTAACCAGAATATTAACTGATTTATAAATAGGGCTACAATGAAATGAATGAATGAAATGGGGTTTAATGTCCAACTTTAACTCCAACCGTGATAATGCATATACCATGCAGTGTGCTATGGGGAAAATTTTGCCCGGACAACAATTTAATTGCAACTGGCAGTGGTTTGTATACGTGCACGCTATAAGGTGTACTCGGAACCTCGGGGAAAATTTACCAGGACAGCCATTGACGTTCGATCTTTTGTCCCACCCGAAGGACCAGACACCATACTCTACCGGTACCAGGTGAACTCCACTTAGTCATTGAAGTTGTGCGCTATAAAAAATATGTATAATAATCTTTTATTTCTATAAAGATTACTCACTGGAGCATATCATATAATTAACAGTAACATATTTACATAATTTAAAAAAAAATATCATATTTTTACATTAATTTAAAAACAATAACATATTTTTACATTAATTTAAAAACAATAACAACAACATATAATATGTATATATATAATAAGATTACCATTATCAGTTTGACCATTTCATGCCTCCGATTTTTTCTGGAAGAATTAAGTCTTTTAATATTATTTCGGTATTTCTATTAACGACGTGGCTTTCGGGAACATTTTGGTCGTTTTACCACAGGGCCACCATAGTTAATAAGCTCGATTATCAAGTCGATGGAGCTGAACGGGGAAGGTTGTTGTTACAATCAACGTTTTCTCGGTTATTATCCGGAGAACCAATGAGTATCGAGAATGCGGTCCCGTTAGAACTAGATAATATTACAACCGTAACTGTGTAGTATATAAAAAAAGGGTTATATATAGATATGTAGGCTACCTACTTTATTTTTTTATAAGTTGACATTACAGTTATTGACTCAGTCAGTCGGTGAAAAGCATAAATACTTGAGAATCGGTCCGTGGCAGCAGACAGTTGACGGACACAAAGACAGGGTCAGTCGCTACTCTATTTTTCATTAGTTAGTTTTCGATTGACCTATCAAATTTCTTCACTGAGTGAACGTGTGTAAATAGTTTATAATCGGACTATTGCAGACAGTTTAGGGAAACCACAGAGAAAGGGTCAGTCGCAGTATTATTGTGTAGGCCTAGATCTACATGTAAATTTTGCAGTAATCATGGATAAAAGCCCAAATGGCAGCAGTTGTGATGTTGTTGTTTATAACACAGAAAAATGGATCGAAGAAAATAAACAGTTCTTTTTACCACCAGTATGCAACAAAATGATGTATGTTTATTTTGATTTTTTTTATTATTATTATTAATAATAAGTGGGGCTATACCCAGGTTCAATTGTCAGAATTTAGAAATGATTTGACTCTAATTTAGTCAACTTCCTTTTGTTACGAATACGAGTATTTTATCGGCCTAGCTGCGGAGGTTTAGAGGTTTTTGAGAATTTTAAAGCAGAATCTCTTAATGAAACGTGGTTGGGTGGATGGTGGTCAAGTGGTCTTAGCCTACACTTGAGCTTTAATCAGTTTTGATTATGAGGTCTGTCATTGAGTCAACACTCAATGAGTGTGGTTTTGGTCACAAGCTTGTAGTAACAAGGAGTAGGGTTGCCATTCCAACCTTGTGTGTTTTCTCCGGGTTCTCCGGTGTCAGTTTCCTCTCACTGCTAAAGACCCTAGGCTTATGCGAAAGTGAATTATTGAAATGAAAATTGTACCGGTAGCATACCATATGCCAGTCCCAAAGTGACCTATTTTGTTTTGGGTGGATGTTAATCTCTCTTTCTCTGCGGTGGCTCAGCTAACATGCTTGTTCCGCAGGATTTTCCAGCATGGTTTCCCCTTTCTGTGGTGCAGAACACAGGGCCTTACAGCTGTCTAGTCATTTGAATGGAACAAAGACCACATGTGTACACATTGGCATGTACGTAAAAGAATCCTTACAAATTGGAATTCAATATAAGAGTAGGCCATTACGCCGCCGTCAGGGCAAATTTTCCTTCTAGCACGTTGTATGGCCTATTGGGGGCTTGGGTGGGCGAATGGTTAGCACATGTGTGCTGTATCATAAGGTCTGTTATTGAGTCAACTGACGTGGTTTCGATTCCCTGATTGTAACTGATAAGGAATAGGGTCGCCTGACCAACCTCGTGGGTTTTCTCCGGGTCCTCTGGTATCCTCCCACTGCTAAAGGCCCCTACGCACAAGCAAATTATTGAAATAAAGTTGAACCGTATGTTAGTCCCAAAATGAATAGTTTGTGTCAACTGGAGGTTAAACCCCATTTCTCTCTCTCTCTCTCTCTCTCTCTGTATGGCCTATTCCCTTCTTCATCTTTTATGCCTGTCTTCATTAGCCCAGTCTGTGAAAAAAAGTATGAGGTTACCCCCCCCCTCTCTCTCTCTCTCTCTCTCTCTCCACATTTCTAGCTGTATGCATAAAAAAAAAAAAATTTGTGTGGTGCAGTCCCCCTGCACTTACTAATAGATTGCCCAACATAATATTTTTAATGTTATTATCTATATAGATGCTTCAAATAGTTTTAAATATCAAGTAACAAATGATTACTTTGACATTCGTTTGAGAGTAAATTAAATGAACTCAAAATGAACTGATGTGTTGAATATACTGCCTTTGTGGTTTACAGTCCTAACCATTGGTATTCCCATCCACCTGTTTTACATTTTCAGTTTAATTGTAACATTTAGAATCATTAAAGGCCAATGCAGACCTGTAAGGTACTATATGACTGTCAAGTACAGTGTGACTATCACATCCCCGAAGATTTAACTGTCTTAAAGCAGTGGTGAAGAGCATTATAATTATAAGCTCATGGCATTGCCAAGTTTACATTGTCTTTATTAAATTTACTTGCTGACTAATCAAAAGAAAATTTGTCTGTGATATCACCTAAAGTGGAAGCAGATGTTAAGCTCTAGAAACCAACCAACTAATCATGGTAGTCGATAAATCATTTAATGAATTACATGTACAGTACTTTGTACTTCCAAACTGTCAGGAACCATCCCTTAAACAGACTAATTAATAGAGCTTTCAGAAATATATATATAAGTATGCTACATGTTCCTTGGACAATTGTGAATCAATTGGTAGACTTGCTTTTTGATATGGCATCACAATTACTTAAATTGTTTTTAAAAGAAATTGATATTGTTATTTGTCGAAAAATTCCTTATTTTATTCTCAGTTAGGATTTATTTCAGCTAATGTCATTTCAATATTGTGGCACTTAAAACGTCCCATTTGGGTTGTCAAAATGTCATATCTGAAATAGTACCATAACAATAAAAAAGATGTAAAAAAACACATTAACCCACAACCATCCAAAAATGGTTCAAATTCTTCAAAAACTTGACATGATATTTTGGTATTTATTATAATGTGGCTCGGCTGAGGTGGTTTTTATTAGGTTTATTTATTGAAAGTTTTTGTTGTCTTAATACCCAGATGTTGACTTCTCATGGATATATTCTATTTAAATGTATATAACATATGTGTATGGTCAAGATAAGAAACACCCTTAATTCAATCTGTGTACATAGACTATAGGTCAAAAGTTTACAATTTGGTCCCTGGCATAGATTTGAATAGGTTTTCTGAAATGATGAGAACAAATCAGTATAATATTGTGGTAATCCCTGAAACTAAGTGTTTCATGTTGTGTTTGGATTTTATTAAGACATTTAAAAGGCCCATATGATCTCTTATCTGTGGTCGGCTAGGGTTACCAAGGAACCCGAACTTAAACCTTTTTTTATGGATTCACTCAGGCATGGTGTTAACTGATAATAACTTTATTTGTTGGGGGTTATTTTGCATAATTTTACCATTTATTAAAAGTATAATGGATGTCCTGAGAGTTTGTGACATCCACATAACAGTTTTATCTATTAAAAAAAGAAAAGAATGTATAAAGTGTACAGTCACGCAAAAATGAAATGCTATTATCTGAGTAAAACCAAAGCTCATAACTGTCTGCCCATAATTACAAAAATACCTCCCTTTGTCATAATAAAGTTAAAACAGGAGGTCCAGCTGACTGATGTTTGGCGTCATCAGAGCGGATAGAAAAAAACCTGTGGGGAAAAAGAATCCGCTGGCTTTATGTGGAAAAGCTAAGTGCTCGCAGTAAAAACCACATACATGTAGCTGGACCTGTAGATTATTTGAATATTAAAAGTGTTTGTCCAATAAGTTCCATATGGTTAAAGTTAAAAATTAATTAAAATTTCAAGACTTCAAAGTTTAAAACTTATAGGCATTCCATCAACACCATACTGGTGATAAATTATCTGTGTCTGACTTGTCTTTTCATTTACAGCTGTTTATAGTCATTTGAGGATTTTAAATCACTTACAAACTATTCGGACCATGGCTGATTCAGACTAAAAATCAAAGCTTATTCGGACCACATTCAAGATTCATTCGGACCACCATATTGCTGATCCGGACCACCACCAGATTATTTCGGACCATATGATAATAAATAATAGAAACCAAGATTTAGACATCTAAGTTTAAAAGGGTTTTATCTACATGTAGACTCTATCATGATTATCTGTGCTTTTATTTCTGCCAATTTAAGTTGATTTCAATGTGTCGTACATATTTTAAAACCAATAGCAAGTAGCAGGATGGAAATTTGCTATGTTAATGCTAACAAATGATGTATAGAAAAGTAATCAAAATATTTCGCTTACCTTGTTCCGAAAATAAACATAAAAAGTAGATTTATGGGATTTCCCCGATTTATTGACCCAATTTTAATTCAAATAGCTGTAACCCGGTAGCAAAATGGAAAATGTACAATGTTATCATGAAAATAAATGATCTGTAAAAAAGTTATCAGAATATTAGGCTAATCTTATTTAGAAATGTGTCTTATTCAATTATTGAAAAAAATTGAACCATATAATGTTAGTCCTGAATCGACCGAATATGTGTAAAGTGGAGGTTAAACCCCATTTGTCACTTTTTCTTTCCTTATCATTATAGAGGAGTTGGATGGCCAAATGGTTAGCGCATGTATCATAAGGTCTGTCATTATGTCAACTGGTGGGGTTTTCATTCCCTGGTTGTACGTTTCCTCCCTCTGCTAGAGACCCCTATGCGCAAGTGAATTGTTGAAATAAAATTGAATCATATGTTAGTCTTGAAATGACCTAGTTTGTGTCAAGTGGACATTAAGCCCCATTTCTCTCTTTCTAACATTTCAGTATTTACAAAGATATGATGAATTAAAAATTTAACAACATTCAGGATCCACTGTGGACAATATAAACAATTGAGTGCCACCTACATGTATAAATGTTGGGTAACATCTGTATATAATCTGATTGAATCCAACCCGGGAGATTATGTACTATTGATAATTTTTTTTTTTTATTGATTAAATGTTAATATGCATTGATTAAGCTGTGAAAAAATAAATAGATCTTGTCCAGAATATATCCACTATCAGTATTGACGACTTTAAATCTGGACTAATGATTTATTGACAATCTGATTTTTATATTTCATTAATGTCATTTAAACATACATTATGCAAGAGGTAAATCTGCCTATTGCAGGTCTTTCTTCAGGCCTGAAATGTTTTCTAAATTATTAATTAGACATTAATTAACTTGTCCAGACCATAATCAACTCTTGATGGCATTGCTAGCCTGCGATATTTACTGAATTAGAACCCGGTTTGCTGCTTCTGATTAAATAAAAAAATAGATAATCGAGACTTTGTTTTTTATCGTACCGACTTTAGAAATGATCGTTGAGGCTAGGCCCAAAATTCATTCGCTAAATACTCGGTTCAGGATGGATCAATTTGACTGAAATTTTCAGCAAATTTCCTTTACATTATCGAGTTTTTAACTATTATAGTGAGAACTACCAGCTCTTGATCTAATCTCCCATAATGTATCTTTAATGATATTTGATTTGGATTAAAATCTAAATTTGTTGATTTCATGCAGTAGTTTGTTGTGTGAAGATGGTAGATTTAGTTGAATATGTTGTATCTATTGATAAATCCATATAAACCAATTTTGTGTTCCACTGTTGACATAGTTAGTCAGAAATTGAACTAGAAGAAGCAAACAAGCCAAACTCCACTCAAATTTAATCTTATAATGTATAAACTTATTTCTATTCTTTATGTTGACCTAAATCTAAGAGGGTTAACTAGCTACTTTAAAACAATAGTGAGAAGGCACTGTAGTGTCAGTGATGTTTTTATCCTTTCTGAAATTTGTTCCTTCATTATTAGATAAATAATATTCAACCAGGAGCGTCGGAATGTCAGAAGGGCAGGGGGCAAAGTGGTAATATTTGAAATTCTGGTGCAGAAACAATGAAATCTGGTTGGTTACTATTTAAACCCCATCAAATTAAAGCTACCTATTCAAAAGAAAATCTGGCATATATGTAAGGCCAGTGGGGCAATTGCCCCAAGCTTTTGGGGGCAGAAGGGCATTGTACCATATAGTCCTTTCGTTTTGGCTCGACTGTGCTCAATACTCGAAATAAGCCACTTGTCACCATACTTCACTTGTCACCATACTCCTCGCAGTGTTTCGTTTGATTAGACTTAATCCCAATCAAGCACTGCCGTGACGAAAGCAAATTTCTGTTCCAAATTATGACTGGTCAATAGGCCTAACTGCATAACAATGCCATATGGGTAAACAGCAACTAAAATCATTATCTTCAAGCCTATCTCACATTGTGGTCTTTTTATTTGAAATAAGTACCAGTAAATACTAGGAATTTATTTAATATTAATTAGTTGTCTTTCTATTTTTTGCAGGCATAATGGACAGATGAAGGTATTTTATGTTGGTGGACCAAATGTGAGGAAAGACTACCATTTAGAAGAAGGGGAAGAGGTACAGTATATTCTAATCACTTTTTTTGTATTTTCTTGCTTTTCCTTACATTTTTATAGAGCTATACACACATGCATAAAGAGTTTAAAGTTACATTATGACCTAGTTTTGTTAATACAAAACTGTATAACATACTAGTTTAGTGCTGTATCCAGTTACATGTACTAAATGACTATTGTCTTCATCAATATGGAGATGTGACAGAATCTCCTATCAATGCAGTTAACAGACTTAAGACCAAATGTAACCTTACTTTCCTGATGCAACATCATCCCCAAAGTTCTATATCTCAAATCCCCTCTCTCTTGAGTCCATGTCCTTTGATCTTGTTGTTGTCATGTATGGTTTCATGAATTGTTGTTATAATTTTTATACGCCCACATTTTCATGTAGACTTATGCTGTCGTCGCCCCCGTCTGTCTGTGTGTCAGTTCACAATTTGTTTGTGGACACTCTACAGTCCACAATATTCTTATCCGATTTTGACGAAACTTGAAATATAGGTTTATCTCCAAAAGATCTCAGTTGATTTTGATATTGGCATGCATCGGATTGAAACATCATGGATTATGGCCCCAGATTGTAGCTAAAATCACGTTTTTAGCAGGTGAACACTCTAGAAGTTACAATTTTTATCAGATATAGATGAAACTTGACATGTTTGTTTATAACCCAAAGATCTTGGTTCCTTCCGATATTCGTGCATATCGGATCACAACTTCTTGGATTATGGCCCCTGAATGTACGAAAAATCACGTTTTTAGCTTTTGGTCCCCGTAGACTTTAGAGGTCACAATTTTTTTTATCTGATTTAAAATAACTTTCAAATATCTCACCGTTACACAATAATGATGATTAAGTTTGAATTTTGTGAAAATGGAACCGAAACTGCTGGACAAAATGGTAGCTCTTTGTACGCAAATAGTGTTAAAGTATGTAATATCAATGTTGTAGACCCTCTAGAGGTCAGAATTTTAATCTGATTTTGATGAAACTTATAAAAAAATGTTTCTATCACAGAGATTTTGATTCCTTTTGATATTCGCGCATATCGAACCACAACTTCCTGGATTATGCCCCTTGATTGTACGAAAAATCACTTTTTTTTAAAGCTTGTTTTCTGTCCATCTCATGCAAAATGTGGGCATATCTTGCAGGGAAACCGCTTGTTCTGTATATATTTTCCACAATTTTTTGTATCGAGTTACTAAATGCCTCTAAAAGATTATTAATTTTGTTAAGTTGATAGATATTGAATACTATTTCCATAATCACAGTCAACCATGGTGCTAATAAATATAATTTTCACTGTTGTCCTAATCGCTGTATATTGATTAATGGGTCAATAGTCACAGTAAATAAGCACATTTAACACTTTATATTCGATAATATGTAAATATATAAGCTTGTTGATTATTCATTTAACACACTCAGGAGTCTAATCATGTTCCAAAGTATTTTCTATAATCATGAAAATGCGATTGGTGACAATCACTATCCCACAATTTTTAAATCATTTTCCCAATCTCATTAAAATACAGATCTATATTTCGTTTCGTTGGCCTACACTCTACACTACATGAAGATCTGACCAGTTGTTTTGGGAGGTCGCGTCAGAGGTAATACGAGTGGCTTTTGACCTTTTGACATCAGACATTTGATTAACCAATCAAAATTGATGTTTCTAGTGGATTACCCACAGTTCAGTGCACCTCACGTCAAAGGCTTGGCCTAACAGACCGTTTCATTGTCTAATCCCTCACATCATCCAGAACATGTCAATGATAACAACTCTTCCAAATCCTAGTGTAGTAAAGACAAATAAAACAAAATTTTGAACCACAAAAAACGAAACAAAATAGGATCTGTGTTTTATTCAGATTGATCATTTTCAATGTCCATGAAAGAAACATTAATTAGACACCAAAACATATGCTGTACATAAGAAAAATATATTTATTCAAATAAGCTCTCTAGGTTAACTATAAATAACCACTGGTTAAGTTGTTTATACATAATGAACCATTTTTGTCAAGACTCCAGATTGATTTTTCAGGCATACTTTTAGAAGTCAGAATAAAATGTCAATAAATTGATGAATTAGAACAGAATAGTTTCATAATAAAGACGTGGTTAATTGATTAAAAAGAGTTTATGATTTATTGAAAATTATGAAGAAAATGCAACATATTGACGATCATGTTTGATCCTACTCCATTTTCTATTTCCATCACTTTTACACCGAAAAACTAGCGGTTAGCCGTCCGTACTGTGTCCACATGTAACTTCCTACTTTCTATTAGGGTTAGGGTCAGGTATTTAAGATTAAAACCTAGAACACAAAAATGCCAACATATTTTCCATGAAAATGACCTACACTAGAGCATCTAGGACCCCAGCCTGACTGTGAAATGTGTTGGACATGGTAGCTGTCTACATTGTTCATGATAGCCTACCGATATAATGAAACACCTGGATTTGTTGTGTTTTCATTGTATACTCTTCATTCATGCACTTGTTTATATAACATTCAGATACTATAGGGGACCGGAATAGATGTCTATTACTTACCTTTTAAACTCAGAATGCTGTCTACAGTTTTGATATATTTTATTACAGTTATTTTATATGGTAAAGGGTGATATGTGTTTGAAAGTATTAGAACATGGTAAACATAAAGATATTATCATTAAAGAAGGAGAGGTAGGTATTTGATACTGTAATACACTAAAGCTGATGATCTTCATTTGAAGGATTTTGAAACCCTTGCAAACTACAACATTTTGAAAGATCTATCTCTAAAAGGAATATCGGTCAAAATATTGTTCAATTCCCTTAACGGAAAGGTACATGTACTAAACAAGACATTCTTAGGAAAATACATTAATATATATAATTATAATATTTAAAATGTTTTTGTCCACTGAAAAATTAATATTAATACTGTACAAGAGCACTTTTTTTTATAGTTTCTTTCTATGTTGGTGAATAATAAGTGATATGTTGGTTGTTGATATTTCTAGATTTTTGATTCACAAATTATCAACATGAATTACACTAACAGCACACAATTAATGTAACAAATATTGGTATAAAGGCTTAATGGTATATAAGCTCCAATATGGATATGGGAATTGACATAAAGGTGTAAATATCCACTTACAGGTACATAAAGTTTAGGAATGTGATCTGAAGTCGATCTCCCAATGACAGGTTTATTAAAAGGTTCCTCTTGACTAACACATGTGGGTCTATATATCCCAGTGCGTTACCTATGACATTAATCCTATAATGTAACAATATCATGGTAACTAAAACGCTTTAGCCCATAGTTGTTAATTACAATTTATAAGATAAATTAATAGTGTAAAAACAAAGAATATTGGAGACAGGTGATTAGTGAAATATATAAAACAATACAAAATAGATATAAATGGGGGTAATTAAAGGTGAAATAAGATCATGACGTGTTAAACATTTACTATTGGACCGAATTTATTAATTGTGAGAATAATAATTATTTAGATTTAACTGAAATTTACCCTACTACAATACACTTAATCATGATTCAATATGAAGATACAAATTGGCACTGGGTGCCGACATTGTATCCAAATGTATGATGTCATAGTACACTATATATTACATCATCTAGTTCACTTACGTGTACCTTTAGAATGATAAAGATGATGTTTCCAACTGCCAATTAAAAATATTTCTTTAAAATTTTCTAAATATGTCTTTTTTTAAAGATTCATTACATGTATGTAAGATTTAGATAAACAGCTGTCCGTTCTTGCTATACTAGTTCAAAAATTGATAATGCAGAATAAATATATTGAAAAAATGACTTTATTCTGAGCCAGGTTATCACTGTTTGTAGTTTTGATGAGATGTGTGCATTGGTTGTTTATTATCATAATCACGGTAATGGTATATTCGAGACTTAGACTCGCTCCTCCATTTTTTAAATTAAATCATTGAATGGCCGAACCGTTCTAATCTAGTTAAAATCTCAAACATCTGATAGCATTGAGAGTTGATTATGATCTTGTCATGCTAACCAATGTCTAATTAATAGTTTATATATAACATTTAAGGCCTATAGAAAGACCTGCAATAGGCAAATATAGCTCTTGAATAGTGTATCTTTAATAATTTTTTTATTATGATTAAGCAAAATAACACGCTTGGGTAAATTTTTCCTTTAAGTACTTAGATAGATAAAACTAATTTAAATTTGCACCTACTGAGACATTTGACTGTCTATCAATTTAAAATGTCAATGAAAGAACTATTTAAAAAATTATTCTATAAAATTATATACAATTCTATTATTATAAAGTCGTAGTATTTTTGTGTCAAAATGAATCTTAAATATATATGTCATGCGTGACAAAAAATAAATACCATACAGGCACGATATAGAACTTGCACAAAAATTAAACTACGGATATTACAATTCGCATAATATATGCAAGTTTATAATGTATGTGATAAATAGTAATAAAAATTATGATCAATATATTTATGACTGAATGCACAAAATGTTAGTTGACAAATATGATGGATATAGGAATGTAATAAATGAGTAAATTGTGTAAAACTGACACTAAGCTACATACAAATGTAATATAGACATGTATACACAACCAAGATTTTAACTAGTGTTAATAAATGAAATGAAATAGGGTTTAATATCCTACCTTTGTGCACCGACTTCCAGGACAGTGACACTACGGCCTACTCTTATTTCGAATTTCAACTATCAAGGATTCTTATACGTACAAATGACCTTGATTTTTTGTCCCATCGGAACAACTAGACACTGACCTTATCAAACCCTCCGTCATGCACCACTGACTAACTGGTGTTAGTTGTCATCAATCATTATTAATAATTATTCTAAAGAACCATTTAACTGTGATATTTACAACCATTTAACTGTGATATTTAATACCATTTCCTTATTTTTGTTGACATTTTGATATCATTTCCCCTATTAATCAAATAAAATCTGACTGCAGTAGCCAGAATGTGTTGACAGCAATCTGATTACAGTATATTGACAATAATGTACCCCTGTGTGCAGGCCACTTATTGAACTGAGAATGAACCATATGTTAGTCCCAATCATGAAATGCAATGAAATGAAATGGAGTTTAACGTCCTACTGTTCTGCTCCGAACTGGGCCCTGACAGCGGCACTACGGCCTACTCTTATATCAAATTCCAACTGTCAAGGGATCTTTTATGTGCACGCCAATGTGTACACAGGACCTCGGTTTTTCGTCCCATCCGTCCTGTATCACTGACAAGGGAGAATCACACCGGAATCCCAGTCATGAAGAAAAGTGGGAGGTTAAACCCCATTTCATCTCTCTCTCTCTCTCCCTCTCTCTCTCTCTCTCTCATATATTACACATGTTTAGCATTTTACTTCTAAAAATGACACAGATGATTGTATGTTACTATGTTACACTGTGGTATGTATAATATTTAGATCATTAAGTGCAACATGTATTATACACTATGATATATTATTAATGTACTAAGTACTTCTTTATGTAAATAAATAATAAGTACTTTTTTAACAAAACTATTCAATTATTACAGATATTTCTATTACCTGGCAGAGTGCCACATTCACCTCAAAGACAAGAGTCAACAGTAGGTCTAGTGATAGAGAGGGAAAGATTAAAGTCCGAGTTAGATGGTTTAAGGTGAGACAATATCTAATTATCATATTCCAGTGAAAACCAGTATTCTATGATACAGTCTTATACAAATCTTCCATAAAATTTAAAATGTAGACATATGTTGCATAGCAACCATTTTTAGTTATTTTTTTCATTTTGAAGGGCCAATCCCGGTAATATTTTGGAGAATAAAACTGCTTAATTTTGTGTTAAAACCCTCTACCTACGGGCTGAGCAACTAACTCAATATATGTGATAGGTTTTCAAACAATTTAAGCCCGCCAGTCTTCATCTGGAAATGGAGACCGGTGTCCCAAGCTGTATTATACGGTGTCTGGATAAATCCAGACTTTTATTTTATAAAAATAATGTGTAGGTGAAATTTAACTTTCGTTATCAGTTACAGCACATGGGTCATTTACTGTATGTCAACCTTTAAAGGAAAGGGGATCGATCATCAGGTCACTTAACGAGAAAAATTGACCCTAAATCTTAAAAGGGTTACGTGTCTGGATAAGCAGTTTTAACGTTCACGTCCAAATGACTCAATATTTTGAGCTGAAATTTTGAGACAAGGTAAATACGTCAATCTCTATATTTTGGCACTTAAATTTCATACGTACTCAGACTTTTATTTTTGTGATCCTGTTCAAATCTCAAATCTGGATAGTCCCTTTAAGTGGAGTCTGTATCATTGCAGGCACAGGACTGTACACTGCAGTTTAGATAAGGGTTGCCAAAGAACAGAAATTCAAATTTTGTTGCCTTAATAAGTGAGATATATGTACAAATAAATATATGCATTAAATTGTCAGCAAGGTAATTCTATCCATTGTAAATTGTTTCATCTTTCGTTTTTAATTAACAAATAAAAACAGCTGCTGTGAGGTTATCAGGATGTGTAAATGTACAAATCATCAGTACTACATACTCTAATAATCTTAATTCACCAACTTCCTTATAACAACTTGTTAACTAAAGGTTAAAGTGATTTGTACATGTACTTGGGGTTGGCCATTGTTAAAACTATTTTAATTATGATATCTGCAATTTTTGGATTTTCTCCTTTAATATGTTGTGTTGATTTTGTATAAAATTCTATCTTTTAATCTATACTTACATATTATTCACTTTATGATTAAAATAAAGAATACTAACAATTATTCATTCCCGCAGGCCTGAAAATAATGGTTTTATTTGTAGCCACTAAAATGTCAGGCACTATTGAACTGACGCCTGACATTTTTACTCGCCCACATTGAAATGATTGTCGTCGCGCCCGTACGCCCGTCCATCTGTCGATTGGCAATTGTGGACGCTCTGGAGGGCAAAGTTAATATCCGATTGACTTTAAATTTATACACAGTGTTTAAGGTCATGAGACAAAGAATCCTATTCATTTTCAGCGATTTCCAATAATTACTGCCAGAGTTATGACTTTTAGAAATCTTGTGGAGTCTCTGGAGGCTAAAGTTAATATAAATTGTTTAAGGTCATGATTTTTGATCATTACTTAATAGGGTTATTACTTGTAATCAGATTTCCATGTATTGTAAATGTTCTCATTACTTACAAAGGAAAAAATATGCTACAAACATTGTTGACTGCTCAGATGACTTAAAGGACAATATTGGTGCCAGTCATTATCACATATGTGATATGTGAGAGGATATGTGATATCCTCTCACAATCTCATGCAACAACTTTCAGTCTTCGAATGAATTATTAGTGAGCAGAAATTTGCCCGTATATCCGTTATCACTCGTCACATCAGTCAGTTATATAGAGAGATGACTCGTGTTTTCCTTTGGCGTTCGTCACTTCCGACTCAGGAAACCTGTATTACTCAGCTATCGTAGCAATGATCTCTGTGTTAAAATTATATTTGGAATGTGTTTAACCAGCTCTATCACATATAATGACTGGCACCAATATTGTCCTTTAGAGCGAGAATTTCAAATTTTTTAAGAAAGTCAAAACAATTATTTGTATGTCTTTTGCTCAATAGGTTATCAAATCACTATTATACGATCATGGGCATTATTTCCCACCCTTAAAAATCTATGACACAGGAAATAACAACACAATTACCTCCCCTGTTTTGCTATTGACAACATGGGGCAGCCATTTTCCAACGTTGGAATTTGAAGTTAAAAATGATATTTTTGCCAATTTCTCAGCTGGCAATAGCGAATTATAGGATTAATAGGATTATTCTTTAAAGTAGCTAAGTCTCTAACTCAATATCATCCAAAATCTTCAACATTGAAAACACGATTTATTTATTAAATTAAATCAACATTGATGTTGTAATCTTACCGGAAAAAGATGGGCTTATGATATCCAATATTTAAGACAAAATAAACATTTTACCATTGGTACATGAATCGTGTACCATAATGCGCTTCAGTCCCAGTTGTATCAAGAGACTCGAGGGACGAGGCTTGACACATTGCCCCAATTCAAACGGCGTATGTAGACTGGAATAACCAGACGCTAGAAATTTGCACTCGCTTGAGACTGCTGGCTTATTTCGCCGAACATAACTGATTTGAAATTGGAGTAAAAACGGAAACCATTGAATGTAAATCAGTTTATATACATTCATATTACAGTATTATATGTGTTGCGACCCACTTTTGTCAATTTCTAGGTCCCAAATGTTAGCGATTGTGCTCCTTTAACAAGGTAGGACTGTTTATGGATACCATCTATTTTAAGGCTTTATTTTAATACATTTTAAAAATATAACTTGAAAATTTGCAATTTCCGCTTTAACTGCTGTGGTCGTATGTTTTGTTGTCTGGCAACCTATCTTTGACTTTTTGCCAGACAATGAGAAGTATTATAAATATCATATGCACCAGAGAAATTGTGAGTGACAAAATCTGAATTTGTGCCTCCAATGTCTGTGACAGATGCATTATTTCCAGGCTTCAGTAAGCAGTACTTATATATTTTATTTGCAATATCTATTATAAGTGTGTATGTTGTGCAATCTATGTGTTTTTGTCACCCACTGGTGCAAAACATGCATTATATAAGAATATATAACATTCATAATACTGTATCGTATTATATATTTATATCCAAAAAGATAAGAAAAAGAATGAAAAGCGATGGTTTTTGCCCTTGTTGATAGAGATTCTGTGTAGTGATAACTGAATCAGAATGTGAATATAGCTCATGTGATAAAAACACTTGACACCTGATGGATATGACTGGGTTGAGTGTTTTACTGATTCACATATCTTTTGACTTTCATAAGTTTAGTCCAACCAGAGATTAAAATAAATGAATAATTGATGCTTGACTCTAGGACTCTGAATGTTGACATTGCATATTTTTATATAATGCATGTTTTGGGCCGATCATTTGGAAGATTCAAATTATATGAATTATTATCTAAGAATTTTTTTTCGCATTGCATCCCTACATGCTGCTGGTCATTTATACATTTAAACATAAAAACAAGCTTAAAAAAAAATGTAATCCTTCATATTATATACTAGCTTTGCTAGACATCTTGGGAGTTGTCGATATATATTTAAAATGTTATAAAACCTCAGAAACTTTTTAAGTTTTTGTATTACAATCATCATATCCTTTATGATATAAAAACTTAAAAAGTATGTTTTTATTTATCAAGCTTCAAAGAGCTAGAATCAATTTGTTTGGCTCTCTCTATGGCTATCTGACTTTCTCTGTGCATTTGCTATCAGAAAATTCCAGCATCCAACAGTTTTAGTCAGATCCAGCATCTGTTTCTAAATCAGATGAAATTAAAAAAAGTTAAAGTCGTATGAGATTTTATCTGTATTCTTGCCAGAGTCTGAGAGGTCAATTCAACATCAATGAATCAATGTCATTGTGCTCATGGAGCCCTTGAACTTGACTACTATCTTAAACAGAAATATTTCTCTAAAATCTCTTTTGTATTCCCTGTCTCCAGTAACTATTAAAAACCTCCTCAAAACCATCAAATCGATGTAAAAATCAAATCAATTAAATTAAGACAAATGACGATTATAAAATCACAGATAGATTACAAATATAAATATGAATTTTCAATATAATATGTCTTGTACTAATATGTGTTTATTTCTAACTATTACATATGATTTCAAGTGTGATTAATTGACAATATCCTGTCTCAAAGAGTGGGAGTAAATAAATAAACCTCTTTCAACTGTACAATTACTGAATGACAATAAATAAAAGTTCTAGTTATAAAAGACATAGGTGTGGATAAAATTATTTCTTATCAAGAAAAAACAAAATGTCATGGATCGATAAATTTATGCACAAATATTTGCTGTTAATCTTTCCTTTGAAACAGTTCCATTCAGAAAGACATTGTTGTTCTTTATTTATAGCCTTGACTACCTCATATTCTTTCAAATTGTGAAACCTCTATTTCTTCCACCTGATAACCTCCATTGTGTCTGATCTAGACATTTCATGGCTAAACAGTAAAAAGAGATCATGGTCAAAACATTCAAACCTCTTAATATATGATTGATTAAGTTTAGTCATTACACTCTGTTTGATATTAGGGGGGGTTGGGTGGTCTAGTGGTTTAATGTGTATGCGTGAAATCATAAGGTCTGTCATTGAGTCAAGTGGTGTGGTTTTGATTCCCCGCTTGAACATAACAAGGAGTAGGGTCGCCTGTCTAACCCGTGGGTTTTCTCCGATTCCCCGCCACTGCTAAAGACCCTGTGTGCGATTGAATTATTGAAATGAAATTGAACCATATGTTAGTCCCAAAATGTGTTGAGGGGACGTTAAACTCCATTTCTCTCTCTCTCGCTCTCTCTCTCTCTCTCTGTCTGTCTGATATTATTAAATACTTTATCTACTATTTCAATATCTATAATTATAATTCTTTGTCCGTTTCCTTTCTGTTTTCCTCATGTCACCAGATGTAGGAACTTTTCAACTATCTTATAATCATTACCTGTTCATTTCTCTTTTCCTCATGTCACCAGATGTATAAAATTATTTTAATAATTATCATAATA